GACAAAAATGACAAACCTGCTCTAAATGACCAACAATAATAGTTTATTAAATTGGTATGCTGCTCAACTCCCAGCAATTCCGATTAAAGTTAGGAATCTCCAGACATCTGGGACCTATCCAGGTAATTGAAATAAGGGTGAAACTGCTTCAATGCTTGTCTCTTTTTATAAAAAAAATAAAACAAAGAGGCACACATTTATTCTAGGTCTGATTTCAGCATTCTCTAGCTGTAATGCTAACACCTTGTTGTGTCATATTTCTTATTTCTCAGTACAAGTTTAAAAATTGCTTTTATTCAAATTTTAGGTTATAGTCTAAAATTACATTTTTCTTTGTAGAATCTTCTTATCTATAATATTAACTTGGAACTTTCCATTCTTTTTTATAGAGATTTGGGACAATGGAGGCTAATTTGTAGCAGACTGGGGCTTTCTTGTTGTTTGGCCAGAACATCAAATTTTCTTTTTCTTTTACCTTTTTACTTAAGTTGCCCACTGGAACATTGTGATTGTGAACACTGGTCATTTTCATTTTTATTCCATTCACTTTGTGGAAGGGTCCTTGATTGGTTCTTTTCATTCATTTACAAAACAATCATTCACTTATAACACAGTTTTTAATCTCCATTAACATTGCTCTGTATTTTCTCTTGAAATCTTAATGATTGTTGGTGACAATTTTCCAATTAATTTTCTCTGTTCATATATTTGTTGTTGTTGTTCATTGCGAAGTTGTGTCCGACCCATCGCGACCCCATGGACAACGTTCCTCCAGGCCTTCCTGTCCTCTACCATCTTCTGGAGTCCATTTAAACTCATGCCTACTGTTTCAGTGACTCCATCCAGCCACCTCATTCTCTGTCGTCCCCTTCTTCTATTGCCCTCAATCTTTCCCAGCATTAGGCCCTTCTCCAGTGAGTATACAGGCTCTTTTAACACCCTTTGTTTGCAGCAATCTCTCTTGTGTATGTACCTTTTCCCCCTTTTATCCATAGGCAATTGATCATTCTGCCAATTAATTTTTTTTTTCAAACTTCCCATCAGCTATGAAAGTTGAAGGAGCTTCTTAGAAGAGACAAAGAGGAAAGAAGATCAAGTTGGAACATTATTTAAAGAGACTGAAGAACATATACATATACAATGCAGGGCTTACGGATGGGGAGCCCCTCTCTCTTCTAGGTGGTTCTCTTCTTTTCTCCAGGGCTGACTTCAGTTGGTGTTGATTGGAGGAGGAGAGATCGTTCTTTACCCCTTTACTCACAAGTTTCCTTCCCCCCCCCCCTTTCAACATCTACATGAAACTGTTGGGTTAGCTTATCTGCTGGTGTGGGATTCAGTATGCTGATGATCCTCAATTATATCTTTTGACCTCAGGTCAGCCAAACGAGTCTGCTAAGTTGTATCCCAGGGTCTGGAGGTTGTGTGGGTTTGGATGGAGAGGAACCGTCTCTGACTGAATCCTACCAAGACTGAATGAATGTGGGTGTCTGAATTGCCCAGATCTGTGGATATTCTCTCTCTGACCCAAGGATGGGGTTGCATTTCCCCATTGAAGAGTGTTGCACAATCTGGGGTTCTTCCTGGACTTGCAGCTTCTGCTCTGAGCGGGGGGAGGGGGGCAGCTGTGACTAGGAAGGCCTTTGCACAACTTCATCGGCTGCTGCAATTGCACCCTTTCCTAAATTAGGGAGCCTGTCAGTCACTCGCATCCTAACTTCCCCACCCTCAAAAACCTCATCCCTACTTCTTTCATAAGCATCATGTACAAGAATATAATGTTCAATTATCACCCAGTTATGGATTCTGCTGTTGTTGTGCACCCACAATCAATTAGATGACATCAATCCATAATTATGGCTTCATAATCACTTGAGAGATGTTTTTCTCTTATTTCAAGGCTGGCGGCCTTGTTACTGAGGAACAATAAGGCTCAGTAGTTGGAATAGCAGCTTTTATTTTTATTTTTAGTTTATTTTTTTTTATTCAGGAGTCTTCAAACTTGGCCCTTTTATAACTTGTGGACTTCAACTCCCAGAATTTCTCAGCCAGCGTGCCTGGCTGAGGAATTCTGGGAGTTGAAGTCCAGAAGTCATAAAAGAGCCAAGTTTGAAGAGGCCTGTTTTTACTAGTTAGAGCAGTGGTTCTCAACCTGTGGGTCAGGATCCCATTTGGGGTCAAACGACATTTCACGGGGGTCGCCAAACAACGCAGTCCACCATTTTTTCCCCCTTTTCCTTAGCTGTGCTACTCCCTTTTATTCTATTGGCTTTTGAAAGCCAATAGAATAGACTCTCTTGAATAGAGTCTAATTCTATTGGCTTTCAAAAGCCAATAGGAATTGTCCAGGCTGTCTCTGCCCTGCTGAGCCCGCCAAAAGTCCCATTCTGCAAACGGTGCTGCACCAGTTGAGTAGTCCTTGACTTACGACCGGTTGAGTAGTCCTCGACTTACGACCGGTTGGGGGTCGCGGCATTAAAAAGGTTGAGAACCACTGAGTTAGAGGAACAGTGAATTGTACTTTAGCGTTGCTGTCTGGTTGTTCCATAAAGAAAAGAGAATGACTTCTAATTAGGGCTTTCTTTCAAGTGTCCCCATTGGTCCAGGAAAAAAAGAAGTCAAACTTCTGGAAAAAAATAAATAAAAGTGCTTTGGAGATGAAGCTTCTCTGTTGTAACTGCTAGGTGTCAAAACTTGAACTTCAGGAGGGTTGGAGGCGAACCACAATCTTTTAGTGGCAGCTTTGCCGGTGATTTTTTTACAGTTTCTTTTTAAAAAGAGAATAAAGAATGCTGATCGGTACTCTGATAAGTCTTCCATTAGGAAAACCCCCCTCTGAGTCTCTGGAGAAAAAACTGAGCAGGGCAGGGCCGCAGATGCTACTCCGGAGCGCAGCTGCTTATGATCAATGGCTGTTTCTGAGGCAACCAGTTATGATGATGAGCATGACTTGAATGTAAAGAAATGAGTAATAAATGATAAACAAGAAAGAAAGATTTGCAGTGGGACAGGAATGGGTAAACTGGCTCTAGGTGCCACCCTCCCCCTTCCCATTAGACTGCCAGAAATTGCAAGTAGAAAAGCTATAAAAAAGCTATCAAAATACAGGTAGTCCTCGACTTACAACCATTAATTTAGTGACCCTAAAGACCAAATATCTTAGCCCCATCTCTTCAAGCAGCCTCCTCTATCTGGTGCCATCCAGATGTGTTAGGTTTCAAATCTCTAGCTAGGTATATTGAAGCCAATCCATTTAGAAAGCACTTAAGAGCTCTAAAGATCCTCAGAATCCATTCAGCCTACCATGTCCCATTCTCTGAGAGAGCCTAGTCACACAATAGCCTATTTATCATCTCCTGTAGTTTCTGCCTGTCCCTTACAATCTGACAGTCGGCATGCATCAATTAAACACCACCACCAGGTGGGACCCAGGAAATGGTCCTTCTCTGTCTCAGCACCGGACCTGTTTAAGTAAGTCCTTAAAGCTGTCTTTATTCCTAGGCCAGTGGTGGTGAACCTATGGCACACGTGCCAGAGGTGGCATGCAGAGCCCTCTCTGTGGGCACGCGCCATCACCCCAGCACACGTGGTCTCTAAAAGCTCACCATCACTGGCCTAAGGCCAGCCAGCCTGGAGCCGCCATTGGGGAGCCCACCATTCCACCCACCAGAAATCCCCTGGATCTCCCCCAACTCTGCCCGGCTCCCACAGGTATCACTCCCCATAAGCAACATCAAGGTGGCCATGCCCACCCTGGCCATGCCCACCCAATCTGCCATGACTACTGCAGCCACACCCTTCCAGTGGCCATGCCCACGCAGTCTGCCAAGCCCACTGTAGCTGCACCCGCCAAGTGGGCCACACCCACCCGGCACCCGGCTAAACATAAGTGGGTTTTGGGTTGCAGTTTGGGCACTCAGTCTCTAAAAGATTTGCCATCACTGTCCTAGGCTCTCGATTAGATCTCTGGTGGGATGTTTTGGGTCTTTAATCTATTATTGATTTTACCCGTGCTTTCTTTTAGATTATATCTTCTTGCATTTTCATCATTAATTTCTTATTGCCGCATCCTGTAAGCCAATCAATGAAATAAATAAATACCAAGTCATGAATTAGCCTTCCTGTAGAATGCATGCATAGCTTATGGAACCCACTGCTACAAGAGGTAGCAATGGGGAATAGATGGCTTTGAAAACATCCATCAACACTTAAATGGTTTAATACAGGGGTCCCCAACCCCTGGGCCATGGACTAGTACCGGGCCGTGGCATGCCAGCAACCAGTCCACACAAACAAGCAAAGCTCCACCTGTGCGATGCAGGCAGCACACAAAACCACACACTCTCCGGTCCATGGAAAAACCTCTCTGCACGCAAACATTCATTAAAAGTGTATGCTATTCTACCATGCTAAGAGTAAGAAATGGGTGAGTTGCTGCCTTCATGGCTTGTTTGTTCCTTTAAGTTGATTTTGATTCCTGAAGACTGCCTGGAGAGGTCTTGGCAAGGTTTTCTTGAGAATTTTTTTTTGAAAAGTGGTTTACCGTTGCCTCTTTTCTAGGACTGAGAGTGATTGGCCCAAGGCAGAACTAGAACTCACAGCCTCCTGGTTTCTACATTAAGCTGGCTCTCTCATGCCAGCTTAAAAAAGCCTTAGAAAGCCTCAATGGAAGATTTAGCTAGCTCATCACTATAAGAAGCAGTGGGTCCTATGTGGCAAGATCTAACTCAGTGGTTCTCAACCTGTGGGTCGGGACTCCATTTGGGGTCGAACGACCATTTCACGGGGGTCACCAAACAACGCAGTCCACCATTTTTCCCCCCCTTTTCCTTAGCTGTGCTACTCCCTTTTATTCTATTGGCTTTTGAAAGCCAATAGAATAGACTCTCTTGAATAGAGTCTAATTCTATTGGCTTTCAAAAGCCAATAGGATTGTCCAGGCTGTCTCTGCCCTGCTGAGCCCGCCAAAAGTCCCATTCTGCAAACGGTGCTGCACCAGTTATGTAGTCCTTGACTTACAACCGGTTGAGTAGTCGTCGCCTTATGACCGGTTGGGGGGGAGGGGTTGCGGCATTAAAAAGGTTGAGAACCACTGATCTAGCTTCTTCTGTTTATAAAGACAGATGTTAACCCAAGGTTGAATCATTTTAGCTTAAGTCAGTGTATCCAGTGGTGGGGCTCAAATATGTGAACAACCGGTTCTCTGTGTGGATGCCACTTCTGGAAGTCTTGGCTTGGGCAACAAAAAAATTAGCTACTGGTTCTGCTGAAATGGTGCGAACCAGCTGAATCCCACCACTGAGTATATCTCAATCTTGGCAAATTTAAGCTCTGTGGAGTTCAACTCCCAAAATTCACTAACCTGCATTCTACTCTTCTTCTGTTCCTACTTATGGATTTTCTGAAAGCATCTAGTTGGCCAGGGTGAGAAGCAGAAGTGCTGGTTTAAAGTGTTATGTTGTATCCCCTAAACCTCCATCTAAGCAACAGCTGAGTGCCTTGCTAAATTCTTCACCTCTTAGAAGCAGTGTGAACAGCAGTCCACAAATGGACTATGGGGGGGGGGGTAAATGCACAAAGCAGGCACACAAAGAAGCACTGAAGGATCAGTGGAAGACTTGTTTAGAGTTCTACAGCACTTACATGCAGCAGAAACATTTAGTTGGCAGGATTCAATCAAACCTCTTTCAACTTCTCTGAGAAAGAAAAAGGAAGTTCTAAACAGATACACAGAATAATATCACAGTTTACCATAGCAGCGGCTGACCCTTAAACAAAGCTATTCCATCTTTCATTCAGGATCTCCGTTCTCTCCCACACCGCCTGCATTTTAGATCCCGCCTCTTTTATCTGCTGGCTAGCTTGCTGCCTCCAGAACTCATCTTTAAAGCTTGCTTAGAAGCAAAGTCGATCTTCTTAAGACATTGACAAAGAGGGTGGCACTCCAGCCAGGTTGTGCCATTGCATAAAGACATGGAAGGAATCCATCAGCTTTCTACTTAGACAAGAATCTCCAATTGTTCCATTTTGATTTGTTCATCTCTGTTTCATGCCTGGTGCAACTAGGAGGATATCTGGAATCAGACAAGCTTTTGACAAAATCGATCCATTTTGCCAATCATCCAGGAGCTTAGAGGAGAGGTGCATCCAGATGGAAATCCAGAATCTCAGAATCCCTCGATGTAGATGAGCACAAATGTGTTTTTTATATCCTTGCTTTGGACCTTCTGCAGATATTTAGGATCTTCGGAGCACGCACTTTGGGAGAGCATGACCTAGCAGCCTGCAATTCTGAAAAACTGAGCTGCTGCAACTCTTTTTGAGTTGTTTCAGTACTCTGCAAGTTGTGAAGTTTCTGGAAAAGGATCAGTGTGGATTTTGGATTCTATACGTTGACCACAGAAGAATGATGATAGTTAGTAGGTAGGACATAAGTCTCCTAAGATATTCCTGAGCCAGTATAATCTACCTTAGGCTTTCCCCCCAAAGCATATCAAACATTCAAGGAGAGGAAACTTCAGTCTAAAAAGAAGCAATTTGGTTCTGGTGTCTGGATCTACCCAACAATTGGGACATTTTGCTCTGAAAAAGTTGGAGAGGCAAAAGGCTCAGTCAATCCATTTTGTTGCTAACTCTGCTCTTGCAAATGCGCTTCTAGAGCAACTTCTGCGCCAGCTGGAACTGTCCAAGGTGCTGAAATTAGCTGCCATTGAGCAGATCACCACCCTTTTTGCAAGCAGATGAACCATTCTGAGAACAAATAAAGCTGAGAAGTCCATGGTTCAGCTGGGAAAATAAAGAGGAATATGGTAGAGGGAGCATCCATCTCTGACTTCAACTTCTTTCTGAACAATTCAGCCTGCGCTGCAGAGTTGTGTGCTAATGGCTCGGAGCCACCCACTGCCCCATATTTGGTGGATGCCTGGCTGGTCCCACTCTGTTTTGCCATTCTGATGTTGGTTGGGCTACTGGGCAACTCTCTGGTAATCTACGTCATCATCAGACACAAGTCAATGAGGACAGTGACCAACTACTACATTGGTAAGACAATTTGGAGGCATTCAGATGGGAAAGGGTTGTAATGGAGGTGATGCTTTTAAACTGGGGCCAAGAACTAAATGAGATAAAGAGATTCAATGTAATATGAAGTTGTATGGTGATTACCAGCTATAAAAGATATAAAAGAGTACAGAGAAGTGAGGAACTGGATTGAGAATTTCAGGATAATAAAAACAGCCTGGGGGTTTGCTTTCTACTTTGTGGGAAAAAAAAACTACTGAAAAAGAGCAATAGAAAAAAGCAGATTTTCTTAAAGCGATGATTGGGGTGAGGGTGCTAACTTTTTCCACTTTAATATTCCCTTACGGAAATCGACACATTCCTAAGATATCCACTTCCTGCAGGTTTTTATTAGCTTCTTATTGTATTTTGATCTTCTTTTGAATGCATGCTTAGTTCTAAGCCAGCTTGATAAAGGGAGAGACAAAGGCAAATTTCATCACTGTTTAAAGACCAGCAGCCTCTGCTCTTGCTTCAACAGCCAACCTGGCTACCACCGACATCATTTTCCTGGTTTGTTGCGTTCCCTTCACTGCAATGCTGTATCCGCTTCCAGGCTGGATCTTTGGAGAATTCCTATGTAAATTTGTCAACTACATCCAACAGGTGAGCAATGTCTGAATTTGGAAACTTCTCTGTTCAATCTTTTTTTTTCTACAGGGATTTTTAGTGCCGTACCTGAATTCTGGTGTCTCTTACCATCTCAGCTCAGAAATGTAAAACTCTGGCTCATTTTGAAATCGGATCTTCAAAATAGCATCCATGAGGAAGATTCTTGTGAAGGATAATGGTGTTATATTTCTGGCTCTGTGCATAGTTATGGGAAATAGTGAATGAAAGTAGCCTGTAAGTATATACAGGTAGTCCTTGACATACGACCACAATTGAGCCCCAAATTTATGTTGCTAAGCGGATATTGTCCCATTTTACCATCTTTCTTGCTATAATTGTTAAGTGAATCACTGCAGTTGTTAAGTTAGTAACATGGTTGTTAAGTGAATCTGGCTTCCTCATTGACTTTGCTTGTCAGAAGATTGCAAAAGGGGATCACATGATCCTCGGGACACTGCAACCGTCATAAATATGAACCGCTTCTCAAGCACCTGAATGTAAATCACGTGATTATGGGGATCCTGTAACAGTTCTGTGTGAAAACTGGTCATAAGCCATTTTTTTCAGTGCCGGTGTAACTTTGGGGAATCACATGATCGCTATATGCGATCTTCCTGACAAGCAAAGTCAACGAGGGAAAGCAGATCCACTTAACAATCATTTGATTTGCTTAACGACCATAGCAAAAAAGGTCAAAAAAATCGGGTGCAGTCATGTGATGACTTGCTTAACAACCGCATCGCTTAGCAATGGAAGTTCCGGTCCAAATTGTAAATGTCAGTTGAGGACTACCTGTATGTTAGTGAATGAATGCTGTGCATGCAAAAGACAAGTAAAAGATGAATGGAGGTGTATAAGTAAGGAACGAAATGTATGCAGATAAGAAAAACCAAATGGTAAATAGCTAGAGTCCCAGGGATAGGCAACCTTGGTTCTGTTATGATTTGTGGACTTCAACTCCCAGAATTCCTGAGCCAGCATGGTTGAAGTCCACGAGTTCTAAAGGAGCCAAGGTTGCCTACCCCTGAGCTAGACCTTGACTTATGTCCACAACTGAGCCCAAAATTTCCATTGCCGAGCAAGGCAGTTGTTAAGTGAGGTTTGCCCCAGTTTTTGACCTTTTTTGTCACCATTATTAAATCAATCATCCCAATTGTTTGGTGAATCATGCAGTCATTAAGTGAATCTGGCTTCCCCTATTGACTTTGGTTATTGGAAGCCAGCTGGGAATGGTGATCCCATGACCCCAGGAGAGTCCAAACTGTCATAAATACATGCCAATTGCTAAGCCTGAATATTGATGACGTAATCATGGGAATGCCGCCACTATTAAGGATGAAAATGATCACAAGTTACTTTTTTCAGGGCTGTTGTAAATTTGGTCATAAAATAAACAGTTATAAGTCAAGGACTACGTGTATTATATGAATGTGTATTTGTGAGTGAATTTGTATGCAAATTGGTCAAGTGATTGACAATAAATTACGCACACAAATATCTGTTTAAATTAATGGGGCTGTGTGTATATGAGTATAGATTTACAATACAATACAATTTGTTTCTATGTGTATGAATGAAATCTTTCTTTGCATTAGTAACTAAGTAATATGTGCATGGCTGGATGGAGTCACTGAAGCAGTAGGCATGAACTTAAATGGACTCCAGAAGATGGTAGAGGACAGGAAGACCTGGAGGAACGTGGTCCATGGGGTTGCGATGGGTCAGACACGACTTTACAATTAACATCAACAACAACAATGTGCATGAATATCTCTGCATTTTTGTGAATACCGTATTTTCTGGCGTATAAGACGACTTTCTAAAGCATTCAAATCGGCGCCGAAGTCGGGGGTCGTCTTATACGCTGAGTCATCCTATACGCCGGAAAATACGGTAGGTGTAAATGGAGTTTGCTTTTTCTGCTGCACTATCTAAAAGCGTTTTAGATGTTCTCCCCACAAAGCTTCTATGGAAAGCCCAGGGAATAATAACCCTGTGTGAAAGAATAATAATAATGATGATGATGATGATGATAAAGTTGGAAGGGACCTTGGAGGTCATCTAGTCCAACCCCTGCTCAGGCAGGAAACCCTACACCATTTCAGACAAATGGCTGTCCAGTCTCTTCTTAAAAACTTCCAGTATTGGAGCATTCACCGCTTCTGGAGGCAGGTTGTTCCACTGATTAACTGTTCTCACTGTCAGGAAGTTTCTCCTTAGTTCTAGGTTGCTTCTCTCCTTGATTAGTTTCCATCTGTTGCTTCTTGTCCTGCCCTCAGGCACTTTGGAAAATAGCTTGACTCCTTCTTCTTTGTGGCAGCCCCTGAGATACTGGAAAACTGCTATCATGTCCCCCCTCGTCCTTCTCTTCGTTAAACTAGACCAGGGCTTTTCATCCAGTGGTATGGGTACCACCTGTGGTACATTGGCACCTGGCAGGTGGTACGCAACCATCCTAGAAAACTGGTAGTGGGGGAGGGAAATGAACTGAACCAGTGGTAGCACCGCACAAGCCTGAGCGAGAAACGGCTGGAGCTGCAGGGCTGTCAGGGCTCAGCAGAAGCACCAGGATCAGCGCCAGGCTCCAGCTGGAGCTCGGCGCTGTTCCTGGTGCATCTGCTGAGCCCAGAAGAAGCGCCGATCAGCTGGAATGCTGCAGCATTTACATTCAGATGCCTGGCAACTGATTCATATTTATGACGGTCACAGTGTCCCAGGGTCATGTGAAGTGATCAAAACCTGGTGCAACCACCCAGCAGACGGGGGGAATAAAAACCAAACACCCCCCACCCCACCCCCGCTGCCAATCCTCAACAGAAATGCTCACAACAATGGAAATCTTGGACAGGAGGAAGAGCGCCGCCGGGCGGGCAGGCAGCTGTCTTGCTTGGCTGTGGCTTGGGGGGCACTTTTTTCAGTGCCATTGTAACTTCGAGCAGTCACTAAGCGAACTGTTGTAAGTCGAGGACTACCTGTACTTTATCACTTTTTTCCTTTTTGGGGGGGGGTCATCAAGTTTTTGACACCTTGCTAGGCGACTGGTGGCACTCGGATATTGCCATATCCTAAAAGTGGTACAATGGGTGAAAAGGTTGAAAAGCCCTGAACTAGACATACCCAATTCCAGCAACCGTTCCTTATATGTTTTAGCCTCCAGTCCCCTAATCATCTTTGTTGCTCTTCTCTGCACTCTTTCTAGAGTAATAACCTGTTCCCAAGCATGCTTTTCTTTCTCCTTCAGGTTTGGTTGCTGTTCTAGCTTCTATCTAGAAAAAGAGCTTATATTTTAACTTTACACTCAAAAAATAATTAATTCACACTTGTTATAACACGTTTCTAATGTGAAACACCTCTTTCTAGTACCCTGAGGAAGCTGTACCAATCAGAGCAGAGGGATAAAAAGATCAATAGTTTCTAGTGTAGTAGAAAGCAATGTCTTCGGTAATGATCAAGGTGAGAACAGTTACTCAAACAGAATGGCAGTGGGCAGCCTCCACTGTCAGTTGTCAGATTTGCTGTAGTTCTGCATTAGAGCATAACCGAGTGCTCTAATGATGCCCAATACAAAAAAATGGGGCACAAGGAATAAAAATATTGCTGATGGCTATGACTGAAGACACATCGACATGCCTTTTCCTGAACAGGTGATGCATGTTTAAAAGGGTGAGACTGTGGAGTCATGATCCTCCACCTTGACTCTTTTGTGCCCCCTTTCCCAGGACGCCTTTGAAAGGGATATAACAGAATTATCCCTTCATGCTGTATTTCTTGCAGGCTTGGTGGGGTTCATGCTGTGGCCCACACCCTCTGGAATATTCTGAGGACCCAGATTGTTGAAGGCAAAATGCAAACAATGCTGACATTGTAAACCAGCCAGAGAGTGCTGGAAAGCACTCTAGGGCAGTATATTAGTTTAAATCTATTGTTATTGCTGTTGCTATTATCCTGCTGGATATAAGATCATCTCCTACATTCTTGGTTTCCTGGAAGAGCTTTAAAACCTGGCTCTGCTGGCTGGCTCGGTGCCCAGACAGGGGTGCATTGTGTTGGGGGTGGCTGATGGGGTTGAGAGGAGCTCCCCAGTAAAGGAGAATACTTGTAGCTCAGAGTTGAAATGAGGGGTCCTTAGTGCTCTCTGAGCTTGGCTGTTTTCTTGTTTCATTACCCAAATGTCCAGCACTGATGATGTTACCCAGTTTGGGTAATGAAATGTCTGCAAGAAAACAACCAAGCTCAGAAAGCCCCAAGATTCACCTCAGAAGATTCCCACCCTCATGTCGCCTGTCTTCTTGGTTTTCAGTTTCCTATTTAATTTTCTTAATTTTAATCATTCTATACAGGTAGTCCTCGACTTACGATGATCACTTAGTGACTGTTTAAAATTCCAACAAAATTTCAACAAAAATCACTTACAGTTTGATTCTGAAGTTACGACAGTCACACATAGGCACACCACAGTCACGTGATTGCCTTTTGGGTGCCTGGCAACTGGCTCATCTTTATGGCAGCATCCTGCCATAAAGATGACTCCAATTGTTGGTGTTTTTTGGTGGTTTCCAATCTTTACTTCCAGTTTCTGGCCAAAACCAGGTATAGCTGGCTAAAACCAGCTATTGCTTAAGGATCATTCCATTCACTTAATGGCCTTTGGGTTTGCTTAACAACTGCTGCTAAAGTATCATAAAATCAGATCTGATCACCTGGTGATCCACTTAACGACTACAATATCTTACAAATATAATTCTGGTTTCTCTTACCATCATAAGTCGAGCACTCCTTGTCTTATCTTTTTTTAACCTTGCTATCGTTCTGTAATCCATCCATACTCACTGCAACAGTGAGATGGTAGAATATACATTTAATAAACAAATAATCATGATAGCTTTCTGTGGACTATCATGGAAAGGGCATGGACTCGATGCAGCAGTGTTCCAATATCTCAGGGATTGCCACAAAGGTGGAGGGGGGTCAACCTATTCTCCAAAGCACCTGAAGGCAGGACAAGAAGCAATGGATGGAAACTAATCAAGGAGAGAACTAAACTAGAACTAAGGAGGAATTTCCTGACAGTCAGAACAATTAATCAGTGGAACAACTTGCCTCCAGAAATTTTGAGTGCTCCAACACTCCAACAACTTTTTAAGAAGAGATTGGACAACCATTTGTCTGAAATGGTATATAGGATTTCCCGCCAGAGCAGTGGGTTGGACTAGATGACCTACAAGGTCCCTTTCAACTCTGTTAATCTGTTCTTTCAGATCATGCTAAGATTCATTTAGGATAGAGGTAGGAATTTATTTTCCCACTGGGAAACTGGGACTGTGGTGGAGAGTTGAACTACTGGGGCTGCTGCCACAGTCATCATCACTGCCGCTGCCAGTGTAGCTGTCACCGTGGGCTGCACAGAACCAGCCCATAGAATGCCCAATACAAAAAGCAAAGAAGACGCATTTGGACCCTGAGATACATGGGAAATTTGAACTATCTTTGTGTACAGTGAATGCCTACAAGTAATCTCCAGCTCTTCCCACAATTATACCTGTTTTAGGTTGATAGGAAAGTCAGCAAAGTAAAGTCAGCAAAATAATGGAAAGCATTGCAAAGAAATCCCTTGGTTTGGCTCCATAGGTCTCGGTGCAGGCGACCTGTGTCACCCTGACGGCCATGGGCGTGGACCGGTGGTATGTGACTGTCTTTCCACTTCGATCCTTGCGACAGCGCACGCCACGAGTTGCTGCAACCGTCAGCATCAGCATTTGGGTTGGTGAGTAGAGGCAGTCTCTAGGCTGAGTTAGAATTGTTCACAAACATGATCCAATTATTGAATGTCTTATATCTGGGCAAAAACATCTGCTAAAAAAAGAAAAAAACTAGAGAAAAACCTAATAAATACCTTCAGGTTTGCCTTGAGTCATACTTATTGCCAATGATAGGTCTGCTACCATTCAGGTAATACATAAAGTCCTCCCAATTGAAAACTGGTAGAATTATGTCTCTTGCCTTTAAGGTTTCGTTATACAATTTGCAAATCAAGGTAGTATTTGCAACCATGTGATTGAAGCCTGCCTTCTTTGTGGATGTGTATGTGAAAAAGGGATGGGGCTTTGACTGAGTAGTTGTGGTCACCATCTTGACTTTCTTGTCCGGCTCCCTGCAGACAACCCTAATCCTAACTTTACATGCAACCCCTTCTAACATAGCAATTGAAGGAGTCTTGTTAATCCAATTCTCATTTGTTGGATTATCTGAGGCAGTGGTTCTCAACCTTTTTAATGCTGCGACCCCCAACCGATTGTAAGTCGAGGACTACCCAACCGGTTGTAAGTCAAGGACTTTCCCTGCCCAGGAACGCTGCGCATGCGTGGTGCCGCCCCCTGCGCCGGCCGAGGTGTAGCTGGCAAGTGGCAGAGACGGAACAGGCCGACTACCGGCTGGGCCAACAGCTGGCCCAGCCCAAGGGAGGTAAGGCACCCATCGGGCTCATGCAACCCTCCCTGTGCCCGCCGGCCTCCCACCTCCCACCCCTGGCCCTCTTTTACTTACATTTTTAGTAGTTGCTCAGCAGGGAGGGGTGGAAATTTCCAGACAGCTCGCCTTCGCTGCAGACAACTTGCAGCACTGTTTGCAGAATGGGACTTTTGGCAGGCTCAGCAGGGCAGAGACAGCCTGGACAATTCCTAGACTCTATTCAAGAGAGTCTATTCTATTGGCTTTCAAAAGCCAATAGAATAAACGGGAGTAGCACAGCTAAGGAAAAGGGGGGAAAATGGCGGACTGCGTTGTTTGGCAACCCCCGTGAAATGGTCATTCGACCCCAAATGGGGTCGCGACCCACAGGTTGAGAACCGCTGATCTAAGTTTTTCCAGTGTTGAGCAATTATTGTTTTAGCTGCTAAGTTTAAGCAAGCAATAAATACCTTATTTTAAACCTAAGGATGAATGGCATAAATCAACACAATAACCCTAATTCTGGGAAGCATTCAACTCTGCAATCTTTTCTGCAGGATGCTGATTTGGTTAGGTGTCTCTGTATCTTATCAATTTGCAATTTAGTGCCCTATTATAAGTCAGTGTTTCTCAACCTTGGCAACAGCAGGGGTGGCACAGTGGTTAGAATGCAGTATTTCAGGTTAACTCTACATTCCTACTGACAGGAGTTCGATTCTCACCGGCTCAAGGTTGACTCAGCCTTCCATCCTTCCGAGGTCGGTAAAATGAGGACCCAGATTGTTGGGTCTGCTTAGAGAAGGCTGTAAAGCCCTATGAAGTGGAATATAAGTCAAAATGCTATTGCTATTAAGACTCCATGCTGGCTGGGGTGAGTTGAAATCCATGCATATTAAACTAGCCAAGATTGAGAAGCACTGCAATAGATCCGTTAGGCTGCTCAACAGATACAAGTCTCCTTTGAGCCAAACGTCTCCATGTCTTCACGGGCATATTTCTGCAGTTTCCTGGGTGACAGAACCGAAATGGTTTGTTATCAGCTTCCAAAAGCTAATAGGGGACTGGAGGCTAAAGCATATAAGGAACGGCTGCTGGAATTGGGTATGTCTAGTTTAATGAAGAGAAGGACGAGGGGGACATGATAGCAGTCTTCCAATATCTCAGGGGCTGCCACAAAGAAGAGGGAGTCAAGCTATTCTCCAAGGCGCCTGAAGGCAGGACAAGAAGCAACGGGTGGAAACTAATCAAGGAGAGAAGCAACCTAGAACTAAGGAGAAACTTCCTGACAGTTAGAACAATTAACCAGTGGGACAACCTCCTCCAGAAGCGGTGAATGCTCCAACACTGGAAGTTTTTAAGAAGAGACTGGACAGCCATTTGTCCGAAATGGTATAGGGTTTCCTACTTGAGCAGGGGGTTGGACTAGATGACCTCCAAGGTCCCTTCCAACGTTGTTGTTATTGTTGCTGTTGTTGTTGCTGTTGTTGTTGTTGTTATTATTATTATTATTATTATTATTAAAATGCTTTTCAACTGCTCAGGAAATCCTAGGTCTGTAGGATAAGCTGGGCAGTTGAAAAGCATCAGATTCCTGACAAACCTAGCAGACAACTTTGTCTCCCAAAAAGTAGAGAAGGGAACTAGGGGATTAGCCATTTTGGACCTAATTCTCACCAACAGAGATGAAATGACAGAAGATGTTGAAGCCATAGGAACCTTGGGAGGAAGTGATCATGCAATATTGGAATTCAACATTATGGAAGCATAAGCAATAGAACACAGTCAAACTAGAGAGCTAATTTCAATAAACGTAGAGAGGGTTTGGGAAGGATTCCATGGATGAGAATCCTCCAGGGGAAAACAACTCAAGAGGCTTGGGAAATTTTGAAAAGTGAAATAATAAAGGCCACGTCAAGCACAATACCAACAAAGAGGAAAAATAACACCTCTCAAAAGAAACCAGCATGGCTGCATAAAGAACTCTCTGATCAATTGAAAGATAAAAAGGACAAGTATAGAAAGTGGAAAGAGGGGAACATAACTAAGTCAGAATATCAGCAAATAGCCCAAGCCTGCAAAGACGAAGTGAGGAAAGCTAAGGCTCAAAATGAACTAAGGCTTGCAACCAAAGTCAAAAATAACAAAAAAAGCTTCTTTCAACATGTAAAAAACAAGAAAAAAGTGAAGGGAACAATTGGTCCATTAGTGGGTGAAAATGGCAAGAAGGTGACAAGCAACAGGGAGAAAGCAGAACTATTTAACTCATTTTTCGCATCTAACCAAACTAACCAAAGAGAGAAGCAACCTAGAACTAAGGAGAAACTTCTTGACAGTTAGAACAATTAACCAGTGGAACAACCTGCCTCCAGAAGCGGTGAATGCTCCAACATCGGACGTTTTTAAGAAGAAACTGGACAGCCATTTGTCCAAAATGGTATAGGGTTTCCTGCCTGAGCAGGGGGTTGGACTAGATAACCTTCAAGGCCCCTTCCAACTTTATCATTATTATTATTATTATCTTGTAAGCTGTGAGGTCCTGAATGGCAGGGGCTAAATCAGCAAATCAGCATTGTGCCATTACAACACAATCAGTAACAGTGACATTATAATAGAGTTGGAAGGACCATGGAGGTCTCCTGTTCTTTTTGTAGGTTTGTTGTGATGTCACACACATATCCAGGGCCAGTTTTAGTTAGGGCCTAGTAAGCACTGGCTAGGGTGCCAAACCTTATGGAGGTATCAATGCTACTCAGCCTTCCATCTTTCTGAGGTCGGTAAAATGAGGACCCAGATTATTGGAGGCAATGTGCTGATGCTATAAAGAGTACTATAAAGCACTATGGAGTGATATATAAGTCCACATGCTATTGTTATTTCTATTTGAAATATAAATTAAATGTAAAATTTTGTTTCAGCAGGAGGTGGCGCCATCAATCACTGTAACCTTGCGTTGTTGTTAGTTGCGAAGTCGTGTCCGACCCATCGCGACCCCATGGACAACGTTTCTCCGGGCCTTCCTGTCCTCTACCATCTTCTGGAGTCCATTTAAGCTCATGCCTACTGCTTCAGTGACTCCATCCAGCCACCTCATTCTCTGTCGTCCCCTTCTTCTGTTGCCCTCAATCTTTCCAGCATTAGGCCCTTCTCCAGTGAGTCCTTCCTTCTCATTAGGTGGCCAAAGTACTTGAGTTTCAACTTCAGGATCTGGTCTTCTAAAGAGCAGTCAGGGTTGATCTCCTCTAGCACTGACTGGTTTGATCACCTTGCAGTCCAGGAGGCTCGCAGGAGTCTTCTCAAGCACCATAGTTCAAAGGCCTCAATTCTTTTGCGCTCAGCCTTTCTTATGGTTCAACTTTCACAGCCATATATTGCAGCAAACCCTTGCCAATCTTAATACAATTGTAGTAGATAACCCATGGATCGCTGTAGGGGTTGGGCCTGAGTTGGACTCAACAAAAGATGCTTTGGAGCACACAGGAGTGCCAACTTGGCATATCTCTGTAATCTCTTATGGCAGCTTATCTTTTTCCCCAGGAATTTATAAGCAATAGCAACTTGGAAATTGAATTCCAAGCTGTTGCACAGCTCTAAGAATATCTGATAGCATCACCGTAAAGGAATGTCAGAGACATTCCTGAAACCATGTGATTCCAGATGCATTCACTGCCCAAAATTCCTTTTGTGCTCTCTGAGCTTGGTTGTTTGCTTGCAGATGTGTTATTACCAGACTAGGTGACATCTGCAGTGCAAACAACCAAGCTCAGAGGTCATCAAGGACTCCAAAATGTAACTTGAGTTACAGATCTTCCATTAGCATTCCTTTTGTTAGATCAGTGGTTCTCAACCTATGGGTCGGGACCCCATTTGGGGTCGAATGACCATTTCACGGGGGTCGCCAAACAAGGCTGTCCGCCATTTTTCCCCCCTTTTCTTTGGCCACGCCCCTGGCACCCGGTGATGTATAAGTGGTTGGGGGTCACCACAACATGGGGAACTGTATTATGGGGTCGCGGCATTAGAAAGGTTGAGAACCACTGTGTTAGATAGATGGTTATACAAATTTCTGAATGAATGAAATGGGTTAATTTTTCTTGGTACAAGCAATCCTCAATTTACAACTGTAATGGAGCCTGCCCATTAGGATCGCTAAGTCATGATGGTCATAACTGACCTGATTTTTCAATCTTTTTTTTTACAGTGGTTGTTAAGCAAGTAACATGGTCATTAAGTGAACTAATTGTTCATTATGGGTCAGTTTTGCCAAAACCCATGCTGTTTTTGGCAACAACAGCAACAAAAAAAGGTAAAACATAATCATTTGATCACAGGATGCTGCAAATGGCCATAACTGAGCATCTGAAGTATTTTGATGTGACCATGGAGGGGCAGCCATCAGAACGTCAGTACCGAGTTGTAAATACCCCTGGGAAGGTCCATCGTAACTTTGAATGGTCATAAGCAAGCATACTGCGCCAATACTGCACTTTTATTTTGCACCCCCACTGCTAGAGGCCTTGGAAGGAGGTGTACAGGTAATCCTCGACTTATGACCACAATTGAGCCCAAAACTCCTGATGCTAACTGTGACAGTTGTTAAGTGAATTTTTGCCCCATTTTACGAGTTTTCTTGCTGCACTTGCTAAGTGAAATCACTGCAATTGTTAAGTTAGTAACACGGCTGTCAACTGAAACTGGCTTCCTCATTGACTTTACTTGTCAGAAGGTTGCAAAAAAAGGGGATCACATGAACCCAGACGCTGCAACCGTCATAAATATGAACCAACTGACAAGCACCTGAATTTTGGTCATGTGACCACGGAGATGCTACAATGGTTATAAGTGTGAAAAAATCGTCATAAGTCACTTTTTTAGATCCTAGCATGTTGTTATGGTTCCGGCTAATGAAACATTTCAAAGAACTTCCAGGCATTATTTTCCTAAAAGTCTTTTATTGTTACAAAATGTCGGCACAGGGACAACGGAGGGATGCTAGGATCTAAGTTCTCTTCCTCTGAGCAGTTAAATTATCAGCATGTTCCCTCCCTAAAATTAGCTGTCATATCTCACATTATCCAATTAGTGTGAAGGTCAAATGTTTTCTTCCTCTTTCTTTGGGGGGGGTTTACCCCCAACCCCCCTTCTGCTCTGTATTAACCCCATAATTACCAGACAATTCTGCATATTGTCAAAAGCAAGAATATACAATATTTGCAGCGTTGACAATGCCGTTGTAATTCTGAACGGTCCCTAGAGGAATGGTTGCTCAGTCAAGGTCTGCCTCTAGCAACAAATGGACAAATAAAGGCCTCCACAACAGGAGGTGTGGTAGAGTTGCCAGCCTTAATTTCCTGGGCCTTTTTCTTCACAGGTTCCTTCCTTGTCTCCATCCCGGTGCTGATTTACAACCAGCTGGTAGAAGGCTATTGGTTTGGTCCGCAGACATTCTGCAGCGAGTCCTTCCCCTCCATCTACTACGAAAGAGCCTTTATCCTGTACAACTTTTTAGCGGTTTACCTCCTCCCTTTATTGACCATCCTCGTCTGCTATAGTGCCATGCTTTACCAGATGGGACACCCCACTGTGGCGCCAGCTGATAACCATGCCCAGGTATTATAAGCTGTATGTTGTACCCGGGATAAACTGGAGGTGAGATGAAATATTTAAAAAAAAAAAATCAAAGCAACTCCTGGGCAGAGATGGAAGAGAAAGTGGCTAATAATAAGGTTAGCGAGATACAAAGGCAACAGTGGTGCGGTACAGGTAGTCCTCAACTTACAATGGATCACTTAGTGACTGTTCAAAGTTCCGACGGACCTCCGAAAAGTACTTACAATCAGTTCCAAAGTTCCAGTGGCTGCCTCCCTTCCCCCAGGGTTACATGACAGCATGTTGGGGGCTTGGCAATCAGCCTACATTTACAGACATTTGCCATTTATTTCCTTGTTTTGGCAAAAACAGCCCATAGCAAATAGTGGATTCACTTTATGCCTCTCACAATTTATGACCCTAATGGACAGGCTCCATTAAGGTCATAAGTCAAGGGCTACCTGCACACTCCAAAGTTTTAACTCCAGAGAGACGAAACCAAGGTGAGTCCTCCTCGTTTCAATTTTGGGCAGCTGCCAAAGACTGAAAAGATCTATTATTCGGATTCACTATGTCAACCACCTAATTCTTGTGAACAGGTGTACCATTGGGTCATGTATTTCAGAAAGTCAGAAAACACTGGAAGTGTTTTAAGTGCTCCAACACTGGAAGTTTTTAAGAAAAGACTGGACAGCCATTTGTCCAAAATGGTGTAGGGTTTCCTGCCTGAGCAGGGGGTTGGACTAGATGACCTCCAAGGTCCCTTCCAACTTTACTATTATTATTATATTATTATTATTAAGTTTTGTAAGAGTCGACTCAAGAATAGGGGAAGCGTGTAAAATCAGGTCCAGATAACAAAATGGCCTGTCAAACCTTTAGGCACAACTATAACGAGTCTCACAAACAACAGACACAGTTGCTTTCAAACAAAAAAACTTTGTACTGTACTACAAATATGTATCTCTTTGCTGTAATTCAGCTTTTACTCATTAAGTTTGAGCTGGATGTCTATGGAAGTTCTAAGTCATCCGTTCAAAGATGGTTTTTCAAGAGGCCACTGGACTTTCTGTTTTTCCTTGAAGATGTTTCCCTTCTCATCCAAGAAGCTTCTTCAGTTCTGACTGAATGATGGGGAAATAGAAGGATTTATATTCCTTGCAGCAATCTGGTCATTAGCACTCTGCTAGCACTCTCAGCACTCTGAGCTGGCTGCAAGGCCATTTTCACGCTTCCTCTATTCTTGAGTCGACTCTTACAAAACGTTTCTGACTTTCTGAAATACATGACCCAATAGTGCACCTGTTTACAAGGACTGGGTGGTTGACCTAGTGCAGTGTTTCCCAAACTTGACAATTTTAAGGCATGAGGACTTCAACTCCCAGAATTCCACAGCCAGCGTTGCTGGCTGTAGAATTCTGGGAGTTGAAGTCCTCATGCCTTAAAATTGTCAAGTTTGGGAAACACTGACCTAGTGAATCCGAATCATAGACCTTTTCACTCTTTGGCAGCTGCCCCAAATTGAAAGTGATTCTTTTTCCAAGCAAAATTCTCATTAAGTTCTCTTTAGAAAGATTTACGGAGATGAAAAGGACGGGTTACTAGATTCCCAATAACCAAACTATTTTCCATTCAGAACAGTACGGTCTCATACATATTATGGTGAAGATTTTCCTATTTTCTTTCTAACATCCTTCCTATGAATTGTTAAAGAGGCATGTCTCTTTGCTGATAACAGAGAAACATGCAGCTGGCTGTTTACAGAAACAGTCTCCTAAATTCTTACCAGTTGGGACTTTTTCAGTCCTGAGTAGAGCAGATTGGTTCTGATCCATATTTTATGTTAGAATATCACTAACGGAATATCATATTCCGTAAAAGAAAACATGGCAGAATCATAATCTTCTTCCAACATTGGAAGAAGCATGGCTAAAAGAAGACTTCCAGTAGCAATTTATGGCTGTGAAGTTGGACTGTAAGGAAGTTTGGGCACTTAAGAATTGATGCTTTCGAACTGTGGTGCTGGAGAAGACTCTTCAGAATCTCTTGGATTGCAAGGAGATCAAACCAGTCCATCCTGAAGGAAATCAACCCTGACTGTTCTTTGGAAGGACAGATACTGAAACTAAAACTCAAATACTTCAGCCACCAAATGAGAAGAGAGGACTCATTGGAAAAGACCGGGATTGAAGGCAAAAAGAGAAGGAGACAGCAGAGGTTGAGATGGTTAGATCAGTGGTCCTCAACCTTTTTAATGCCGCAACCCCCAACCAGTCGTAAGTCAAGGATTAAACTAGTCGTAAATCGAGGACTAAACTGGTTGTAAGTCGAGGACTTTCCCTGCCCGGGAGCACCGCACATGCATGGTGCCGCCCCCTGCACTGGCCGAGGCGTAGCTGGCAAGCGGCAGAGATGGAGCAGGCCGACCACCGGCTGGGCCACCAGCTGGCCCAGCCCAAGGGAGGGAAGGCACCCGCCGGAAAAGGGAAAAAAATGGCGGATAGCCTTGCTTGGTGACCCCCGTGAAATGGTCGATCGACCCCAAATGGGGTCGCGACCCATAGGTTACGAACCGCTGGGTTAGATAATGTCACTGATATGGTGGACATGTCAGATCAGCCATCACACCATTTCAGCACTACTTCGCTTTGACGGCAGTGGCATACACTGTGAGGAGGAGGAATGAAGGATACTGGGAGGGGAGATGACAGGAACCAGAAGTGCTAACCTGAGACAACAGTTGAAAGATTCAAGGACACAGGCATGGGAAAGCATGCGAACACCCACCGAAGAGGTGCTAACTGCAGAACTGTTACCAAAATAACTAATTTGAACTTCATTGGACAATAGCAAGATAATCAAGGGAGAAGGGAAAATTATTTGGTTTACCTGGGAAGTTTCAGATCCGGCTTTTCTTACACTGTAACCACTTGGCTTTAGTAAAAGTACACCTGTTGTTACGAATGGAGTCGAAGGTCTTTCTTTCCTAAATGCCCAAGCTGGGACAGGTCTGACAGGTTTGGGCAGACTTTGGGAGGCAGTGGAGGATGGGACACCTGGCATGCTGTGTCCATGGGGTTGCAGGGAGTTGGACACGATTTAGCGACTGAAAAACAAAAAGAGGAGACTTAAACCTGGGCATTTCAGTGTAATATTTTAATGACACCATACTATCTCTCTACCTTCCTTTTCCTTGGGTCACCTCTTCTCCCTCCTTTCTGTGCCCCAATATAGGTACAGCAGCTGTCAGAATTCTCTGAAGCTTTGCGAGCCAAGATCTCTCGTATGGTGGCCATCATCATTGCTCTTTTCACCATCTGCTGGGGTCCGGTGCAGCTTCTGATCCTCTTCCAAGCCTTTGACTCCAGCTTTCAGTACAATTATTATACCTATAAGGTGAAGATTTGGGCTCACTGCATGTCCTATGCCAATTCTTCCCTCAACCCCATTGTCTATGCCTTCATGGGCACTAATTTTCGGAAGGCCTTCAAGAAAGTTTTCCCACTGGCCTTCAAGAAGAGGGTGGGTGATCGCAACATCACTGCCCAAGCCCATCTCAACACCGAGATGCAGTTTGTCTCATCAGGAATGCAGGTCTAAAATAAGTGTCTTTCCTATACAGGTAGCCCTTGACTTACAACCATTTGTTTAGTGAACATTCGAAGTTACAACGGCACTGAAAAAAAGTGACTTATGACCATTTTTCACACTTATAACCATTGCAGCATCCCCAAGATCATGTGATTAAAATTCAGACACTTGGCAACTGACTCGTATTTATGACAGTTGCAGTGTCCCGGGGTCATGTGATCCCCTTTTGCGACCTTCTGACAAGCTAAGTCAATGGGGAAGCTAGGTTCACTTAACAACCATTTTATTAACTCAACAACTGCAGTGATTCACTTAACACCGTGGCAAGAAAAGGCATAAAATGAGGCAAAAGTCACTTCACAACTGTCTTGCTTAGCAACAGAAATTTTGGGCTCAATTGTGGTCATAAATCAAGGACTACCTATAAAGTGTTTTGCCTTCTAGTGGATCCTACGGTGTTATCCTATGTCTAAGGTGCGTTGGAGAGATTGGAATCCATTTGCCAATGGCCCGTGACCAATAGTGAGAGACGCTATAAGATGTAGTCTAGCAACAGTCAAGTCCGACATAAGTAACAAATTCAAGAAACAAGAACAGCCATATATTTCAAAATGGCAGCTTTCATGTTAGTTGTCAACGCTGCTAACATCGGATGTTTTTGCACTGACAACAGATGGAAATGTAGCCATCTTTTACCTTTTGCTTTTAGAGTTAGATGATGCTGGGAGTCGGGATGTGAACAAGAGTCCAGCTAGACATAACAACACTAAGCCTAGCATGAGAAACAAGGTTATTGTAAACAGAGCTGATAAGGAATTGGCAGGCTGGAGAACTGGAGAGGAAGCCCACCTTCAAGCTAATTGGGGAATGTGATTTATGACTGTAAATTGGAGGAGGGAATTGTGCTTTGATACTATGTGCTCAGGAGAGGGGAATTCAGTTTTTGGCTTCGATTATGCAATGCCAATGTTATGCTACTCAAAATAAAGATTCTTTAAGGTAAACAATGCCTCGAAGTTCTTTTGAAGACTTTCATCTGTTGGAATCATGATATTAGGCAGGAATAAAAACAGGTCTTGAAAACTGTAAGAATAAAGGAAGACTTAAATCAATTAAGGCAGAATCTCTCTGAAATGTTTCTTTTTCACAATCCCCATCACGGGACTAGGTAACCTCTTCTCATGCTAGCTAATGGTCAGTACGGATTCCCTATCCCTGGCTTAAGGACACTTGGATCTAATTGCTATTCAGTCTATGGCTTCTGGGTAAATCATGGGCCAATCATACAAATCATATAAACTCAGGATCCAAAAAGATCTTGACAAACTCGAATAATGGGCCCTATCCAACAAAATGAGTTTCAATGTGGAGAAAAGCAAAATCTTACACTTAGGCAGGAAAAACCAAAGGAACAAATACAGATTGGGGAAGAGCTGACTTGGAGGCAGTAACTGTGAGAGGGACCTTGGAGTCCTGGTGGACAATCACTTAACTATGAGCCAGTAGTGTGTAGCAGCAACCAAAAAAGCTAATACAATCCTGGGTTGTATAAACAGAGGCATAGAATCAAGATTATGCAAACTACTAGTACCACTTTATAAAGCCCTAGTAAGACCACACCTCGAATACTGCAGCCAATTTTGGTCACCATATCACAAAAAAGTTGTTGAGAATCTGGAAAAAATTCAGAGAAGAGCAACTAAGATGATCAAAGGCCTGGAAACCAAAACATACGAAGGACAGCTGCAGAACTTGGGTTTGCTAGTCTAAAGAAAAGAAGAAATAGGGGAGACATGATAGCAGTATTCCAGTATCTGAGGGGCTGCCACAAAGAAGAGGGGGACAGGTTGTTCACCAGAGCACCAGAAGGAAGGACGAGAAACAAAGAAAGAAGCAACCTGGAATTAAGGAGAAACTTCCTGACAGTGAGGACAATCAACCAGTGGAACAGTTTATGCCCAGAAATCATGGGCGCTCCATCACTGGAAGTTTTTAAAAAGAGACTGGACAGTCACTTGTCTGAGATGGTATAGGTCCTCCTGCTTAAGCAGGGGGCTGGACTAGAAGACCTCCAAGGTCCCGTCTATTCTATTCTATTCTATTCTATTCTATTCTATTCTATTCTATATTCTATTCTATACTCAGGGGCTGCCATAAAGAAGAGGGAATTAAGCTATTTTCCAAAGCACCTGAAGGCGGGACAAGAAGCAACGGGTAAAAACTAATCAAGGAGAGAAGCAACCTAGAACTAAGGAGAAACTTCCTGACAGTGAGAACAATTAATCAGTGGAACAGCCTGCCTCCAGAAGCAGTAAATGCTCCAACACTGGAAGTTTTTAAGAAGAGACTGGACAGCCATTTGTCCGAAATGGTGTAGGGTTTCCTGCCTGAGCAGGGGGTTGGACTAGATGACCTCCAAGGTCCCTTCCAACTTTACTACTATTACTATATATCACTTTTTCCCACTGCCAGCCCTTCCAAGTTGATCAGATCAAGAAAGCTCACAAAAATACTAAAGCTCTAATACTTATTGATATTGGCTAGAGCAGTGTTTCCCAAACTTGACAATTTTAAGGCATGTGGACTTCAACTCCCAGAATTCCACAGCCAGCTAGAGCAACAGATCCTTGAAACCTTGATAGTGTTTCTCTTTCCCTCACTCTTATACCTATGAGAGCTATGACTAACTTTAAGGGACAAAACAAAAGTACTTTACAAAGTCAGAATCCCCCTCATGCGTGAAAACCAGTACAGAAGTTTCTGCTGGAATAAAAAAAAATTACAGCATCTTGCACAAATTCTAGGACTTTGGGATGTCATAACATCCTTTTTCCACTAGATGGCAATATTTCCTAATCAAATTGAACTCCCAGTTCAACAACACAAATCAACTAGAGAAGTTTTGTATTTTCAGCTGAAATGAAATAACTGGAATAATTAATTGTTTCCTAGTCAAAAGTAACTCCTCCTTTTTAAGATACAGGTAGTCGTAATCTATACCCACAATTCAGCCCAAAATTGGCATTGCTAAGGAAGGTAGTTGTTAAGTGAGTTGCACTCCATTTTACAACCTTTTTCTCACAGTTGTTATGCAAATCATGCAGTTGTTAAGTGAATCTGGCTTCCCTCATTGGTTTGCTTGTCGGAAGCTAGCTGGGAAAGTTACAGATGGTGATCACAGGTCCCCGTGGGGATGCTGCAATTGTCATAAATAAATTATCACATGACCATGGGGATACATATTACAATGGTTGTGAAAAATGGTCATAAGTTACTTTTTAGTGCTGTTGTAATTTTGAGCAGTCATTAAGTGAACAGTTGTAAGTCGAGGACTACCTGTACTACAAATGTCAACAAAAGTCATGATATTGGAAGTAATGGATCAGGAAGAATAGAATAGAATAGAATAGAATAGAATAGAATAGAATAGAATAGAATAGAAAATGGAATAGAAAATGGAATAGAAAATGGAATGGGATGGGATGGGATGGGATGGGATGGGATGGGATGGGATAGGATAGAATAGAATAGAATAGAATAACTTAATTGTCACTTTGAATGTACACTAATCGGCATACATTAAAATGAAATGTCATTGCATACAGCTCTCAAAGGGTCACCATCTCCAATATACACTACATAAATATGACAAAAATAAATAAATAAATACAGAATTATGCATATGCCCACAGATAGGATAAAGGGCTATGCCTTTAGCATACATTAATACTAGAGTGAAAGAGTTATTTCAGCTGGTTGAAAGAAATGTGAGTAGGTTAACCAAATTTGTTTTATCAGCTGATAATATGCACACTACTAACGAGCTCTAGTGGTGCAGTGGTTAGAATGCTGTATTGCAGGCTAACTCTGCCAAGTGCCAGGAGTTCGATCCTGACCGGCTCAGAGTTGACGCAGCCTTCTATCCTTCCAAAGTCAATAAAATCAGGAGTCAAGTTTGTTGGCGGCAATATGCTGACATGTGTAAAATACTCAGAGAGTGCTGTAAAACACTGTGAAACAGTGTATAAGTCTAAGTGTTCTTGCTATTGCTAACAGAAGTAGTTGAAGATTCCTGGCAATGTTGAACGCACAACTTTCTTAAACTCTGGATGGGTCATTCACGCACTACCTTGGAAGAGATGCTTATGCTTTCTAAAAACAATCCAATTAGCCGTTTTTTTTTTTTTTTTTACAGTTGGTCAGTGATTGAGGATGCCTTTCGGACTGTGTTCCAATGCACCCTTATTTCACAGGACCAAACCCCATGGAACATCATCAGAATTAAAATGAATGAGGCTTCTTACTCATGGTTGTAGCTGCCGTCTTGACTTTTTGACATCTCCCAAGATGTCTCTGATGAGATATACTTGGGTATAATGCCCGAGTTTTTCTTTTCTTCTGAAGAAAAAGGCAGCATACAAAAATCTAACAATGTAGCTTAAGTTAATGTCGTTTGAAAAGATGAAAATGTCGCCTTTCAGTGACCGGAGGAGAGTTCAGTATCAGCTATATTAGTATTTCTAAGCCAGCAAGGACAATGTTTTTCTGCAAATCAATGGAGTAAATTTTATTTTCAAATATTGACACGATCAGATTGGAAAGCTCTGAGAAGTCTTAATTAAATTCATCAACTGAAATCTGAGCAAATATGAAGGAATCCATATTTTGGTTTAAGAACATTATAGGTCAGTGATGGCGAACCTTTTAGAGACTAAGTGCCCAAACTGCAACCCAAAACCCACTTATGCATTGTCGAGTGCCGGGTGGGTGTGGCCCATTGGGTGGGTGTGGCCCATTGGGTGGGCATGGCTGCAGTGGTAACGGCAGACTGGGTGGGACTAAAAAGTTCAATCAATCAATTCCAACTCTGCAAGATCTTTTTTTCCCCGCGAGAAGTTGAAATTGACTGATTGAACCTTTTTTTTTTTTTGCACATGGCGGCGGAGGCCTAAAGCGAAAAGGTTTTATAAAACCCAGCTGAAGGCCTAGGACTGAAGTGACGGCGCGTGTGCCCACAGAGAGGGCTCTGAGTGCCGCCTCTGGCACCCGTGCCATAGGTTCGCCACTACTATTATAGGTAAAGATTTTGTAAACTGTTTCGTTGGGGTGGGATTAAAAGAAAAAGTCTGTTCTGATATTGTCCCCTCCCCCCCAGTCACACTGACTACATTTTGTATGCTTGCCAACCGGCCCACATTTACACCTGTTTGCGGGATCCTGTGATCACAATTTATGTTCTTGCCGGGAAACCAATGTTTACTTTTAGTTTCCAGCAAAAACCAACCCATATCAAAAAATGGCTTCGCTTAACAACCATGGCATTCATTTAACGACTGCCACCAAAAATGGGTCATAAAAATGGGTCCAGTCACATTGTGACCCTCTCTAGGACTATCACAAGTTATGACCTAATCAATAAAGGAAAATATTAGTAGCTCCAGGTTGAAATGAGGGGTCCTTGGTTCTCTCTGAGTCTGGTTTGTTTTCTTGCAGATGTTTCATTACCCAAACTAGGTAACATCATCATTGCTAGTATCACTCAATAGTAGTAACTGTGAGAGGGACCTCGGAGTCCTAGTGGACAATCACTTAAATGTGAGCCAGCAGTGTGCTGCAGCTGCCAAAAAAGCCAACACAGTGCTAGGCTGCATTAACAGAGGGATAGAATCAAGATCACGTGAAGTGTTAATACCATTTTACAATGCCTTGGTAAGGCCACACTTGGAATACTGCATCCAGTTTTGGTCACCATGATGTAAAAAAGATGTTGAGACTCTAGAAAGAGTACAGAGAAGAATAACAAAGTTGATATGGGGACTGGAGGCTAAAACATATAAGGAACGGTTGCTGGAATTGGGTATGTCTAGTTTAACAAAGAGAAGGACGAGGGGGGACATGATAGCAGTGTTCTAATATCTCAGGGGCTGCCACAAAGAAGAGGGAGTCAAGCTATTCTGCAAAGCGCCTGAGGGCAGGACAAGAAGCAATGGGTGGAAACTAACCAAAGACAGAAGCAAGCTAGAACTAAGGAGAAACTTCCTGACAGTTAGAACAATTAACCAGTGGAACATCCTGCCTCCAGAAGCAGTGAATGCTCCAACAGTGGAAGTTTTTAAGAAGAGATTGGACAGCCATTTGTCCAAAATGGTATAAGGTTTCCTGCCTGAGCAGGGGGTTGGACTAGATGACATCCAAGGTCCCTTCCAACTTTTATCATCATCATCATCATCATCATCATCATCACCATCATTATCATTATTATTATTATACCAACACTGGTGATGTTACCTAGTTTGTGTAATGAAACATCTGCAAGACAACAACCAAGTCAGTGCTGGTCTAGATAATATCATCAGCGCTAGTCTGACTAGCACTGATGATGTTACCTAGTTTAGGTAATGAAATGTCTGCAAGAAAACAAACAGACTCAGAGAGCACCAAGGACCTCTCTCACATATGACCATAATTGCCAAGCTCAACTACAGTTGAGGATGACCTATATAAGTGGCTAAGGTGCTGGACCAAGAGCCAAGAGACCCAGATTCTAGGGTCCAGAAGCCAGCTTGGGTGACCTTGGGCCTAAAAGCTGGTGGAAAAACAAAACCATTCAGGACAAATACTAGTAAGATAACTGCATCTTCTTCAACTGTTGGTCTTGCTAACTCATGATTATAGGAATTATAGTCCAACACATCAAGTCTGAAGAAGTCTGGGTCTGGGAGAAGCTGCTCTATAGCAGCGATGGCGAACCTTTTAGAGACCAAGTGCCGAAAAACTGGCCCTACCCCTGCTCCACCCCCTGCCCCGATCCCACCCCGTCCCCCACCCCACCTGCCCACAGGGCCACTCACCGCCTCCAGGGCCCACTGCAGATTGCCCAGGCAGCCCAGCAGCGCCATGGCAGCCACACCCACTGCCCGCATTCTGCAGCATCAACTGTGTGGGATGGGGCATGAGGGCAAAGTCTTGTCTACACTGCCTGGCTGCCATGTCCTTGGCAGCCCTGCTCTGTGTGTGCCACGCTCGGGGGCGACTCTCCTCCAGGGGGCCTGCTGGTGAGGAGGGGGTCATGGGGGGAGGCGAGGCTGGGGCAACGGCATGCATGTGCCCACAGAAAGGGCTCCGAGTGCCGCCTCTGGCATGTGTGCCATAGGTTCGCCACCACTGTTCTATAACTTGCTTCAATATTCTTCCCCTAATTTTATTAATAGAGATTTGTCATTTTCCCTATTGATACAGCGTATTCAATTAAAATGAATATATTTAAAAGGAGTGGTGGGGTTAGGGTTAAGCTATGCTTTCCAAATGGGGCATCTTGGAATGAAACCTTTTTTGTTCCTATACACAAACCTAGCAAATATAACCCACAGGATTGCTGTGAGGATAAAACTAAGGTTCAGCAGATCTCTGAGCATGCTGGGTAGGGCGTGAGATTGTTGTAAGGGGGGGGGGGAAGGCAAGAGAATAAATAATAAAACGCACCATATTGGCAAATCTGTCTTGAAGATCAAGAAATCCAGCCAGTGCTGGTATTACACAATTTTCTGTTTGAAGTCTGAATACCAGCTTGGTCTCTTCAGACCTGTTTTTAAGAAGACAAAATGATGGGGTGGGGGAAATCACTCACCCTGGGACTCCTGGAGGTTGATAAGCTACTGACGTTGCAATTTATGGCTCTGTAATTGTCCTGTTTTTTTAAGCACTGCTCCGATTTTAATTCTGCTCTCTTTCGCAATTTTTTCCTTCAACTGGTACCTTGTAAATAAAGAGCAAAATAAATGTGATAAGATGGATCACCTAGCTGTTGTGTAAGGGTGGAAAATCCCAGCTTTCCTCTCTGAAGTGCTCTTTCTCCGAAGGGGGAGCACTTTGGGGTCACCTTCAGGGGGCAAATGTGGGTGACCCTCTCCAAACAGCCTCTCCCCACCTTAGCCCAACCCATTCTGCTTCCCTTTGAACTCTTGAAAGAGGGAACTTAATCCCAAGTCCAAATCACACCAGGGTGAAGGCCTCTACCAAATTATTGGCAACTCTGGAAGATTGACAGTTCTTACCTTGTCAAGTCTTCTCCAATTTCTTCCTATTGTGAAGGAATACTTTTCCTCTTCCCTATCCTCTCTTTTCTCACTTTTCTTTTTTTTCAGTATTTTGTCATAGAATGCTCCTTTTTTAGAAAGTGCCTCATTTAGCGGCCATTCGCAGCTAGAATCATGATGAAAACATAAATGTACAACTAGTCCTTACGTTTATGATCTTTTAGTACTGTAAAGCAAAGGAATGCTGAAGTAAGATCAAAAGGACACTTGCAGTTTCATTTAGTGAACACTTTATTTAATGACCATGTTTTCGGTCCCAATTGTGGTCCCTAAATGAAGACTGCCTGTAGTTTCTTGGATATGTTTGGTCAACTTCATTACTCTACAATATGAAAAGTGCTATTACATTTTTTTCGGTTAGACTATTTTTCCAACGTTATTATGCTCCCTAATTACTCATACTTTGCAAATCAGAAAAGTCCACTTCTAAATACATACACACAAACACATACACATCATTTCTTGGCCAAAGTAATTAAGGGCAAGCCTCTATAGATCTATAGATAATTTTATTGAAATATTTTTCTATTTTAAAAAAGGAGCCAATGCCATTTATTTCCCATTAAATAAAATGGATTTATGGAAGTTTACCCTTTTCATGCTACAAACATTTTGCAAGAAAAAGACAGACAGGGGTATCACTGGTTAAAGATGTCCAAATGTCAAGTCTCCTGCTTGAGCAGGGGGTTGGACTAGAAGACCTCCAAGGTCCCTTCCAGCTCTATTCTGATTGAAAAATTGGTTGATTGACTGGAAGAATATACACAGCTAGTCCTTGGCTCACGACTGTAATTGAGCCTGGCAATTTATAATTGTAAAGCAGGAGTGCTGCAAAGCAGGTCATCAAGTGACTACCCTAATTTTTACAACCTTTTTATTGCAATCCTTACGCAAATGCAGCGGTCATAAAGCAAACACCAGAGTTGGTAAGTGAACAGGTGGTTACTAAGCAAACCCATTGTTTGCTATGGGCTGGTTTTGCTGGAATCGGAAATAAATACGGGCTGCTAGCAAAAGCATTGTAAATTGCGGTTGGATGACTGGGGCACTGCAGGGGGCCCTAAATGTGATCTGACTGTCAGCTGTCCAAAATGCAATTATCTGATTTTGTGTGTGTGTGTGTGTGTGTGTGTGTGTGTGTGTGCAAGGTTGGAACTTCAGAATTGAATCCCAAGTGGCTTTTTTGGGGAGCGGGTCCATCACTCTGAACAGTTGATAAGCAACCAGTTGCAAGTTGAGGACTACCTCTGTGTGTGTGTGTGTGTGTGTGTGTGTGTGTGTGTGTGTGTGTGTGTCCTTTGGAGATGCTGTTAGCAGTTCAAAAATAAATTGATACATTTGACCAGCTTTAACCCATGTCTGTCTTTTTCTTCCAACATTTTTGAAGAAATTGAGAAAAATCACCTAACAAACTTTCAAAATGAATCCCACTATGGATTTGTTCTCTTTATTTCCTTAGGCATATACAGTGATGCAACACAATGCAAAAAAAAAAAAGCCCCAAATTTGGCTCTCTTCCAGTTTGCTCTAGTCTAGTTGGGAAAAAAAATGTAACTGAGCCCTGATTGAAACATGAAATCATGCATACATAGCATAGAAAAATAAACAGAGCACCAGGGTTCACCCTATGAACCGGTCAGGAAACTATTTAAACCAGAAAAGAAAATATTTCATCACACTCTACAGGATTAATTTGTGGCATTAATATCACCATAAAAGGTGCTGATGGACACTAAACTGGAGATTTGAAAGCTCATTGGATTATTATTGTGAAAGGCAGATCTATCAAAAGTTTCTTGGTTTGAAAAGGTTGGGAACACCGTATTTCCAAATCCTAGCTGTAGAGGAATAACAGATTGTTGGAATATCTCCTGTTTGTGAGCAACTTTTATTTATTTATATCCCACCTTCATTATTTTTTATAAATAACTCAGGGAAGCATACAAAACAGTAAATTACAGCAGCAGTAGTTAAACACGTAAGAAATTGCTCTAGCTGAAAAATGAATGGAGGAATAAACAGCTGTGAAAAAAACTAATGCTAAGGATACGTTTATTATTATTCATTAGCAATAACAATGTTTTCACATATGCAGTTATTTATATATCTACATTGGTTTCCAGAATGCCCATTTTTGAATTACCATAGGTGCTTTACATAATTAAATAAACCCAGAACAGTAAAAGAGAAACAGATGATATGCACCCAGAAAGATCAAATAGAACAGCACAAAATCATACCAAAAACATCTTAAAGAGGTTCACTCACCTAGGAAAATACTCAGGTTTTCAATTCCTTAATGGAACATTGTTATTGAACATAATATATTGACTTTTTTTATAGAAATATCACTTTTTATAGATGTTCAAAATGTTTATATTTGTCCTTAAGATGACATATATATTAACAAAAAAATCACCATTTTTATTTATTTTAGGGGGGGAGATTGATCAATATATCTGATCAGAGAGACTAAACTAACATCCACATTAGCATTCTTTTGGCATTAGGCAAAGATACTTTTCCCAAGCCTTTAAATCACATTTTATATATATTAATAGTTGCAAGTCTTTGCAGGTCTATAAAGCAAAGGAAAGCTGAAGTAAGCACAACCATGATTTCACACAACCACCACTTTGCTTAATGATCAAGTTGTTGGTCCCAATTGTAGTTGCTAAATGAAGACTACCTATATTTTGAGTCTTTATTTAATTTTATTGGATATGTCTTAACTAAAATTGTGTTTTTAGTAAACACATTAAACCTGGCTGACTTAAAACCTAAATAAAATTGGGCCATGTCCCTTTGTTAGCAGATGCTGAACACTTCAACTGCCATCCCTAAAGATAGGAATCAATCACAGGCACCACAATCAGAACAATGTGACAAGAAGACAGACTTTTCCAATCGGCAAGGGTAGAGGTCTTCAAACTTGGCCGTTTTATGACTTGTGGACTTCAACTCCCAGAATTCCTCAGCCAGCGAGGAATTCTGGGAGTTGAAGTCCACAAGTCATAAAATGGCCAAGTTTGAAGACGCCTGGTCCAGGGCTTGGGCTGACTCTTCGCAACCGTTCGGATCCCAAATAGGATAAAAATAGCCCTCTCAAAGCTGGCTGAACCAGGTGAGTCATAAAGAAAAGCAAGGCATCGTACATGGATCCATTCTTTCTGTTCCTTTTGCCTGACTAGATGAGCCAAGTTCTATTTTCTCCAGCCAGATTTTTGTAGAGATAGGTACAGGGTAGCAGCCATGGGAGTTCTTTAAAGCATATACTAGTTTTTAATTTGTTCCTGTTTCTTTATACACTTTTACATGTTTAAATGGTATTTAAAACTATTTGTGTTTTTAAATCTCTTGTAGGGGTATACACTTTTAAATACCCCATGTTCTCTGCAGAATCTCCTTTGCACGTTTTATAATCTTGCCCAGTGTGTTGATCCCCTCTTATCACCTTCAGCCAGCCATGTTGGGTGAGGACGATGGTCCTGCGATCCAGCACTTTTCGGAGGGCATCCGAGGAAAAAACTGCATGGTCATGACAAGGATCGGGAAAAAACAAATAAAGGCCCTCAAAACACGCGGCTATCACACCCGAGGCGGATGCTGCTTAGATAAGGAGCTCTTCCTTCCAGACACATGGACTTTCGGCCTCTTGACTGCTTCTGTCTTTCCCCCATCGCCGACCACAAACATGTCTGTTGTAATTACGTTAATGGGATCGGCACGGCTCTGGCGGAGAGAAAGGGGGAAAAGGAGGAGGAGGAAGCGGCTGCTCTTCGAACTCAAGAGAGCCAACTCGAACGACAGCAAAGAAAAGAAGCGGAACTGACTTTAGCAAGACTTCGCCTAGGGAGCGTCCCCAAAGAGCCAAACCCAACCCCTTCAATTAACGGGCCTTTCCGACTCCACCCCGCTTTCTGTCGCGGAACTATTAAAGGCGCTAGAGCTGTGCGAGGAAAAAAAAAAAAAAAGGATCGGGCGGGAGTTTGTAACGTTCTCCTCTGAACTTTAATTCACAGCCGAAATAGCCCTTTTTAGGAACTGGCTTGCTAACTACTGTTTTTGCTCAGTGTTTTTTTTTTTTTTTTCCTTCCCCCAAGGGCTCAAGAAGAAACACTACCAGCTGTTAATACAACCCAACCCCACGAATCGGGGTCGAAGGATTTGAAAGAGGCGGAAGTGACCATCGGCGGCTATCCGAGAGGAAAGGGTGGGGGGAGCGGGTGGGAAAAGAGAAAGTCCACGAATTTTCTTATCCTCGGTTGCGAATGGGAGGAAGAGAAAACCAGTTCAGCTAGCAATATATGGTGACCTGGGGGTTCGGACAGCATTCCGACGAAACTATCCTCAGCATGCTGGCTGGGGGATTCTGGAAATTGAAGTCTACACAGCTTAAGCTTTGAAAAACTCTGGTCTAAGTGATAAAGTGCAAACTTAGAACTCGGGGCGGCTGGACTTAAATTTGGATGAATTTAAAATAAGCCTTCGTTTTTGAACGTGCGCCTTCTAGCAACACAACGTGCAACGGGGTCGTGTGGGTCCCAGCAAGCCAAGCAACCTGAGCCTCCATACTGTAAGGCTATTATTTGTCAGAAAGTAATTGAGCTGCCGCACGGAGTCTGCAAAAATGACGGCTGACGCTAGAGGGCAGCAAAGGGCTACAATTGTCTGCATCTTTTTGGCTACCACCTGGTGGGTGCCTGGGGTTTCGCAGTGCACATTTGGCGGTCCCGCCCTTTCTGCTGCTTGGTGCGTGTTTTTTTTAATCAATTCCCTAATGCTAACTTGTCATTTAAAGGTGTACTCTTAAAATTAACCCCCTAAATGGCAGACTCGAGGAATTCCTAGCAGCCCTAACAGCAAAAGAGCAGTAATAAGCATGTTCCCTTTGCAGCCTGGATTTACCCGGCACACTAGACTGAGTTGAGTCACTTATGGTTCAGCGTGTTGTGGGAACCCAGCCATTGTCTGACGGGTTGGGGGGAACCCGGCCATCCGGGGAATAGTTAATATGGTTGATTTGCTTTGCTATGTGAAAACTATAAATGGGGTTTTGTTAGCCTGGATTTAGAGGGTTAGGATTAGAACCGAGAGTACCGCTGGACTTTAAAGGGACTGAAACGTGCAGACACAGGTGGCGTGTCTCTTGCGGCGGTTTGGCTTCTCGCACACGTTTCCTCCGCCAAGAGGAATTGAACGACGCTCCCTTAGCAGGGCAGGACCCAACCCTCTCCTATGGCTGGGTCCTGATTCAGAGGTTAGGAATTTGCATCTGATTGCTATTTTGTCATCCTATGATTTGTCTATCCAGCTCTGTGCACGCCTTAGGCATCGAGGGAGGAGGAGGAGGAGAAGGCCATGCAATCGCTTGTGAAGGGAAACTTACTAATCCGAGCCAGATAAGGGAGGCGGCATTAAAAGCGACGCAATTAAAAAAAGGAAGGAAGAAAAAGAAAGGGGGAGGGAGAACGCCAGCCAGAAAGAAAAAAAAGGAAAAAAAAAAAGGACAGGTCTGTCTGGAAGATCAAGGGAAGCATCGCGCGTGGAAAGCTGAGCGGCCCAGCTGGATCAGAGACTGGATTCCGGGGAATAAAGGAACCAGCCAGAAGGAAAAATGAGGCTCCCCTCGCCTGTCTCTCTGCAAGGTAAAATAGCCCCCGCGATAGGAATCCGCTTTTCTCTAATGTGTGTGTTTTTTTTTTAAATGGACAAACGGCTCAGGATTCTCCAAGCGGGGGAATAATATAGGTGTATGTTTGTGCGCCTTAGTGTTTTGAAATTCGAGCGAAAGGGAAACAAAATTGCTGGCGTTTTAGAACAGATCTCCAGCTTTTCCCTCCCTTCCCAAAGAAGGGAATGGAGGGGTTTTGGAGGGGGGGGAGTAGAGCGATATAAATAAATGGCTAAATAAAGTTAATATGTAATGTGCTTTACGGGTTGAGCGAGCCCTCCGCGTCGCTGCTTTTCTTTTAACTGCCCTTGAGTTCTAACTTTACTTTAAAAAGAGAGAACCATGGTTATATTTGAAATCGAGTTGTGGGAGGAGGCGACGGGCAGGGGCGGCTCTCCTTCGTGTATTTTTCCCCTTCTGGGTGCAAATGCGTCTCTCGCTGTCTCTTTCCTGAGCAAGCTGGCAATTCCACTCCTGGATTAATTTTGCCATTTAGTTTTAAGCCGAGGTTTTTTGTTTGTTTTTTTAAAGGACAACTGTAATGTAAACTGTACGTCTTTAAAAGTAATCCATTTGGCTCGCTTCACTCCCCCCCCCACTCACAATTAACATTTGTATGGATCGCTTAGCGACCTTTCCCCCACTGTTTTTCTGTTGGATTGTTCTAGACAACGTAGGTTGATTTACATTAGGGAGTCTCGAACGAGCACTTTTTTAAAAAAAAAATCTGCTTTTAATGGATCTCGTTGAAAAGGCTGCGTTATACATCTATAATTTAATATACAAGCTTTTGTGACCCAGACTATTTCGTTCTCTGGAACTGCCCTTATCTTGTACCCTTTTAAACATTCCAAGTCTCTCCACCTTAACCTAGAAATAATCTTTTTAAAGAGAGCGTTGCCATTAACAGCATGTTTATTCAGAAATGTCTCTCACTTGTCTGCTGGGCCTAACTACCCTAGTAAGTGCGATTGTCAGTGTTGTTTAAGACAGCATTTTTAGGACTTACTCGGCAACAAAGACAGAATTTTTCTATATTCACGTTTGAGGCACCTTCTATGCTTGTCCCCTTTATTTAATGGCTGAAATGGATTACAGAATTTAATAAAAAGGTTGTATCATACATAGTATGAGTGTCTTTTTAGACATTTGTTCAGTTCACCCTCAAGCCCCTTTCTATAATATCTGTTCAGAAGGACTCAAGGTCAAAGTGGTGAGTGGACTAACTGTGAAAGCATGCACACTAGTGTGTCTGCAACAAGAGTGAGCTGAGAGATCTGATTGTGTTGACTTTGGAGGCACCAACTGGATCAATATATCATGCAGAGGTGCAGCGCTTATCTTTTGCCTATCTATCAGGCTTGCCTGTGGATTTAACCTGTGTGTGAAGGGACAGTTTTGGAAATATTGCATTTAAAGGAACTTTGCTATTCAGTAATTTTTGTCTGCATCATTTCTCCTGGCTGCAGAGCTGTCTCTATAATTTGACTTTGCAGGAATTACTAGTTTGATCTCTTAAAAAAAAAAGCTGAAAAACACGATTGAGGACTTGGATTTTCCTTCGCAATTCTGGCTTTTACAAGTTTCTATCAGAGTGAAAGGTAATTTAGGGTGTTTCAGGGCCCTCTCTGGAATTTAGATCACCTGAATCTTTTGCAAACTAGCAAAAATCCTGAAACATGCAAGATTGTATCGCTTCTGTTGCTTGTGATCACTGAGGCCTAGCTTCTTGAATAGACAATGGTTTTGCCCCTGCCAGGACAGTTTTATGTCCAGACATATTGTTTTTGTTCTCCTGCCAAAAGGAGAAGTTAGAAAGTGACCCCAGCTATGAAGAATCCAGTCTGTGGAGCCCTACCCCTTTGTTCTTTTATGCTGCTCACTAAAGGGAAACAAAATATTGAAACTGCTTGATGATGATAATGAGTATGCAACACCTCCTTACCCCCCAACATACTTTATGAGTTGAAAAAGTCTGGCTTAGTCGATGATTGCAATTTTATAAGAGAGTGAGTAATTACAAGTAGTTAAGGTCATCACCGTTGCAAAATTCGGCATGGTGCAAATGTGTGCACACACATACATAATCTCATAGATACATATATACTCAGGCTATAGAGTCCGTAGGTGGTATATAGAAGTTTATGGAGCTAGAGGCAATGAAAAAAGCTGAGCAGTTTTTTAAACCCCAGAATTTCCTTAAATGATCAATGTCAGCTTACCTCATCTCATTTATCAGACTCAAAAAAATATTTAGTTGTTTTATGATTCCTTAATTATAACTGGCTGATTGTATCTCATTATCTTTGCTTCATTACAACTCAGGAAGTCAATTTTAATTCTTAGCTCTGAGTATCTGCTGTGGCTTGTTCCTCTTATCAAATATTAAAATTAAATCCATCTTGCAGGATATCATTCTATGGCACACATCTGCTCCAATCCATGAATGTGGTCCATATGTAAAAGCACATCGTCATATGTAGCTGAAATAGTTCCTGCTCCCTAGGCTGAATTTAGAATATGCTTCCCAGATGGGAGGGAGAAATCTGAAAATCTGATTAACCTTATGCTATTAACTTCATTTGACAGAATTCTGCTCAAGGAATTATGAGTCTTAAATTTCAAGCCTGTGCGTGGAAAAAACAGGGTATGCGAAAAACATTTGCGATCTGGACAGCTTCAGAAATCTTGTGTTTGGTGGATTGATTGGCAGCAGAGATAATAGAATTTGCTGCAATATAAATTGCAGCAAAGATACACCCAAGCCTTGAAAGAGAAGTGTTTCTCCTTGCTGCCTGGTCTGCGAGCACATAACTTTCTATTTCTGTCTACCCTTAGGATCTTAATATTGGCAGTAACTAGAAAAATCCTACCACCTCTTTTTGCTTAGCTAACAGGGGCTTCTTTAAATTGCGCTTTGTTTGAGTTTCTGCTGTTTTCCAGATTAATATAGCATTAATGTCTCTGGCCCAGAACAGAGCTTAGATGAGGCTGCCTTCTGAGGTCTGCAATTCAGCCATTTCTAGATTTTTTTTTCCTTTTTTCTCAAACTTTGACAACTATTATGCCTTTGCTTGTTTACAGCTGGAATTGGCTCTATAGTTTGAAGTGACAATGGTGGGGAAGTAAAATATTTTTGACAAGGTGGGATTGGCTTTAGGAGAAAATGTGAAGGTACATTATAATTCATCTTTAATTTCTAGGCATGAATTGTGTAGTTCTTGAGGAATAAGAGGAGAAGGTATTTTTCACATGCTTAATGCATTTGAAATTATGTATTTTGAGACAGATAGGCAATTCAGATACTTTTTTTCCTTTATTACAACACTTTACCAATCTAAGCCAGGGGCAAGGGTAATGTATTTTCAACCTCTAGTTATATTTTGTTGGTTTGAGTTTGGCTATATATATTTTAGGCAAGCAACTTAGATTAGGTAATGAGGAACAGGCACTAGTAAATTCACAAGAATTGAAATATTTGATATTTATTTCTTGTTTTTGCAATTTACCTATTCAATTCTCTATACACGCACACACCAATCACTCTTCAGTTATATTCCCACATGGTTACTGGACACATGTTAATAATATTCAGTTCTTGAAAATTTCTGTAATATGAAAATTCTATCATGGCTGTTGGGGGAATAAAAAGTCACATGCAACTGATATCGTGAATGTAAAATTATTAGTGTTAGTTTCCATGTTCTGGGATTTTTTTGAAATTTGAAATATCAAGATCCATGCAAAGTTATATGTAAAACAGATAAAATGAAAACAGGACTTGAGAGTTTTTTTGACTGAGTTGAAGTTATTTTCGGAGCGTTTTTAACATGTACAGGTAATCCTTGACTTACAACAGATCATTTAGTGACCATTCAAAGTTATGATGACATTGAAAAAAGCGACTTCTAAGTGTTTTTCACACTTAGAACAATTGCAGCATCTCTATGGCCAGTGATGATAATTCAGATGCTTGATTGACAACTGACTCATGTTTATGACAAGTTGCAATGATCCCTTTTGCGACCTTCTGACAAGCAAAGTCAGTGGGGAAGCCAGATTCACTTTACTGTGTTACTAACTTAACGGCAGTGATTCACTTAACAAATGTAGCAAGTAAGGTTGTAAGATAGGGCAAAATTCACTGAACCGATGTTTCACTTAGGAACAAAAATTTTGGGCTCAATTGTGGTCATAAGTCGTGGACTACCTGTATGCCTTTTGGGGCATCCTCCTTTGTCTTTTTTTTTTTTTTTTTTTTGCGTATGATAGTGCAGATTTCACATCTTCTCCCTTGAGGATATAAAAAACAGAATGTGTAATTTTGACTCCTTCCTTTGCGCCGTGCAGCCAAAGAAGTTAGAGAGCGTGTCCACTGTGGGTCTCCTGATTGGTTCCTGCCTCCTGTGATGTCATTAAGGTGTTTGCCTTGGTGAAAGTTCCATGGCAGTTGGGAAGAAAAGGGTGCTTGGTAGGAGAGGGCCTTGGCAGGAGACTGAGAACAGGGTTGGTTGGCAGGGCTGTCTGTTAAATTTAAGTTGCAGGGGGCGGGGTGGATTTTTCAGATCTATTGAGTTGGTTGTAGTGAAAAATAGCTATTTGAATTAGACGGTTTGATGATACCTGAGGAGCATCTTCTCAATTGTGGCCATTGACAACCCGTTCTCCTCTTCCAATTCCATGGAAGAATTGATCCTTTTGTGAGCTAATATACAGTGGGGCAAAAAAGTATTTAGTCAGCCACCAATTGTGCAAGTTCTCCCACTTAAAAAGATGAGAGAGGCCTGTAATTGTCATCATAGGTAGACCTCAACTATGAGAGACAAAATGAGAAAACAAATCCAGACAATCACATTGTCTGATTTGGAAAGAATTTATTTGCAAATTATGGTGGAAAAATAAGTATTTGGTCAATATCAAAAGTTCATCTCAATACTTTGTTATATATTCTTTGTTGGCAATGACAGAGGTCAAACATTTTCTGTAAGTCTTCACAAGGTTGGCACACACTGTTGCTAGTATGTTGGCCTATTCCTCCATGCAGATCTCCTCTAGAGCAGTGATGTTTTGGGGCTGTCCCTGGGCAACACGGACTTTCAACTCCCTCCAAAGGTTTTCTATGGGGTTGAGATCTGGAGACTGGCTAGGTCACTCCAGGACCTTGAAATGCTTCTTACGAAGCCACTCCTTTGTTGCCCGGGCAGTGTGTTTGGGATCGTTGTCATGCCGAAAGACCCAGCCACATTTCATCTTCAATGCCCTTGCTGATGGAAGGAGATTTGCACTCAAAATCTCACGATACATGGCCCCATTCATTCTTTCCTGTACACGGATCAGTCGTCCTGGTCCCTTTGCAGAGAAACAGCCCCAAAGCATGATGTTGCCACCCCCATGCTTCACAGTAGGTATGGTGTTCTTTGGATGCAACTCAGCATTCTCTCTCCTCCAAACACGACGAGTTGTGTTTCTACCAAACAGTTCTACTTTGGTTTCATCTGACCATAGGACATTCTCCCAATCCTCTTCTGGATCATCCAAATGCTCTCTAGCAAACTTCAGACGGGCCCGGACATGTACTGGCTTAAGCAGGGGGACACATCTGGCACTGCAGGATCTGGGTCCCTGGCAGCGTAGTGTGTTACTGATGGTTGCCTTTGTTACGTTGGTCCCAGCTCTCTGCAGGTCATTCACTAGGTCCCCCCGTGTGGTTCTGGGATTTTTGCTCACTGTTCTTGTGATCTTGTTGACCCCACGGGGTGAGATCTTGCGTGGAGCCCCAGATCGAGGGAGATTATCAGTGGTCTTGTATGTCTTCCATTTTCTAATTATTGCTCCCAAACTTGATTTCTTCACACCAAGCTGCTTGCCTATTGCAGATTCAGTCTTCCCAGCCTGATGCAGGTCTACAATTTTGTTTCTGATGTCCTTCGACAGCTCTTTGGTCTTCACCATAGTGAAGTTTGGAGTGATTGTTTGAGGTTGTGGACAGGTGTCTTTTATACTGATAACAAGTTCAAACAGGTGCCATTAATAGAGGTAATGAGTGGAGGACAGAGGAGCCTCTTAAAGAAGAAGTTACAGGTCTGTGAGAGCCAGACATCTTGCTTGTTTGTAGGTGACCAAATACTTATTTTCCACCATTATTTGCAAATAAATTCTTTCCAAATCAGACAGTGTGATTGTCTGGATTTGTTTCCTTATTTTGTCTTTCATAGTTGAAGTCTACCTATGATGACAATTACAGGCCTCTCTCATCTTTTTAAGTGGGAGAACTTGCACAATTGGTGGCTGCCTAAATAGTTTTTTGCTCCACTGTAACTGGCAGCCCCCTTTGATCAAACATCATTGATTCCCTTCCTCCAGTGTGGCCTATACTGACATTCTGCAGTTTAGCATTTCTTTTAGAGAATTAGGACTACAACCTTTTCAGAATTCTGAGGCCAGGCTGTCTAAAAAACTGGGAATTGGTTGAAGAAGGTTCAGCACTAAAAGTCTTTTGCAGTATTAAATTAGAAAGGTTGCAATTTGGATCCAAGGCCCTTTTTCATTCACAGTGTACACTCTTCTGCAGGTAGTCCTCGACCTATAGCCATTCATTTAGTGACCATTAGAAGTTACAGGAGCAGTGAAAAAAGGGTCTTATGGCTGTTCTTCACACTTACGACCATTGTAGCATCCCCATGGTCCCATGATCAAAATTTAGGCAGTTGGTATGTATTTATGACATTTGCAGAGTCATGTGGTCACCTTTTGCGACCTTCTGACAAGAAAAGTCAATGGGGAATCCAGATTGATTTTACAACCGTGTTGCTAACTTAACTGCAGTGATTCACTTAACAACTGTGGCAAGAAAGGTCGTAAAATGGGGCTAAACTCATTTAACAGCTGTCTTGCTTAGCAACAGAAATTTTGGGCTCAATTGTGGGTTGTAAGTCAAGGACTACCTGTATTTTCTTGAGCAAACTTTAATGGATCTCAGAAAGCCAAGCAAAATCAGATCTGGTTAGTGTTTGAACAGGAGACCAAGAATACATTCTAGAATTACAGTCCAAACTGGAAAATTGAAAAATATCTGGGAAGAAAGCAATGGCAAACCACTTTTGTTTCATATGCTGAGAAAACTGTGGATACCTGGACAAACCTGTGGAGTCACCAAAATTCAACTTTCAGGGAAATTCCTTGTTAGAACCAATGTACAGGTAGTCCTCAACCTATGATCACACTTGAACCCAAAGTTTATGTTGTTAAGTGAGAAATTTGTTAAGTGAATCTGGTTTCCCCATTGACTTTGCTTGTCAGACGGTTGCAAAAGGTGATTATATGACCCCGGAACACTGCAACCATCATAAATGTGAGTCAGTTGTCAAGTATCCAAATGTAAATCAGTGACCATGGGGATACTGCAACAGTCATAAGTGTGAAAAATGGTCATAGGTCTCTTTTTTCAGTGCCGTTTTAACTTTGAACAGCCACTGAGCTAACTGTTGTAAGTTGAGGACTACCTGGAGTGAGGCGTTTATGGCACTGACCTAGGACTGGGAGAAATAGATTTGGCTCAAGTTCACTGAAACATAGGTTCTCAACTGATACCTTTGGGTAGTCACGAATTTACAATCTTATCCTACATTATAGGATTGTTGTTGCAAAGATAAAAATGGAAGAAGGATTAATGAGTCTAGCAGTTTCTGTATCTGACTATATCTGGGAGGAGTCCTCCGCAGTTTTCTTGCTGTTCTTCCACCTCAGTGAAAATGCCAGGCATATTATGACTGCATTAATCTAAGCAAGTTAGAACGAGCTTGGGGGCTCTTAGGAAAAGCATGCATAGTCTTGTTGCCAGGTTCTGTCCATGGAAATCTTCATTTCTGCTCATTTTTCCCCTCTGTAAAAAGAGCACTGTGTTCTGTGGCATTGGAGCAGATAATTCCAGAATTTTTCCTTTTCCTAGAGAGATGATGATCTTTCCTGTGGTATTCAGAGATGTGGGAAGTCTTGATGGATGTTAGAAAATACGGTAATAAGCTTTGGTTGCCAGAGGCAAAGAAGCATTATGTCTAGTGACCCAAATATACATTAGGGAAAGTTGTTGTTGCCTCTTTTCCCATCTTTTAGGGCATCAGAGTATGAATAAGTAATGTGGTTATGCATGGCAAATAGGCCAGTGAGAATTCTTAAAATAATTCTTATTTTAACCCCGTCTAATTTTTGGAAGGTAGGGCTTAAGAACCTGGCTGTTCCCTCAGGCTTTGGGGCCAGGGTAGTCATGGAGTCTGGTTGAGGTTTTTTGCTTTGTTTTATAATTTTTTCAATCCACACAAAGCAAAAACACCAACTCCATGATTATCCTGGCCCCAAAACAGTACATATTTTATTGTTTGTTTTCTACTGTTTTTATATCAACTTTCCCATTTTTTATTTGTGTTAGCCACCAGGCATTATTTAAGATAGGCACCCATGCAAATTTACAGAGTAAATAAATTTATTTGTGCTGATGCCTCCTGAGAGATCAGTAGAAATACAATTAAAAGTGTTGTTTGTGACTATGTGAACATGTTCTTTGTCTTGACATAAATTTTGTAAGAGATGGAGGGTTGGTTATAAGCCACAATCATTAACTATGGACATTGTTTAAAAACTGCACCACTATTCCGTCTTGATCAAAGGCTTTGCTGGCAAAAGCTGAAAAACTCTTCTACCTTCCTGTTTGTTAATAAAATGTTGTTCCCCTTTTTATAATTGCTTCCGCTTTTGTTTATGTGTGCATTTTATGTACATACATGTGTCGATGGGTATGTGATGTTTATAGTATTAATAAAGTTGACTTTAGTTATAGTATTTCTTATTTCCACTTTCCACATGATTCAGATTAAAGCTTCTGATCCTAATGGGTTCTTCTTCTGTCTTCTATATCTACCATTTTTAAAATCCATTTTCTAGGAGCTACTTAAATAAAACACACCTTATGAAATCAACAGCTGGATTTTGTACAGTTCCTATATTTGGATAAATTAGCCTTTGTTAAGAAGTCAAGTTTCTAGCTCTTGCTGCCCTAATGTTTAATCTGCATGTTTGTGTTTGCTTTTTTAAAGGACAGGTTTTTCACTGATGCCTAGATGAAGAAGAGGTGGACAACTCACAGTTTGCAGATTGCCTCTAAGCCCTCCTTGAATGGAAAGAAACGTGGTAAAAGAACAGGGTTAAGCTTCAGTTCAAGTTGGCGCAAAGCAACGTGGTTGTGTAGAACGTGGGACCTTGAACTTCAGGATCACGGCTGATTTTTTAAAGCATCATGATATTTGAATAGCCTTTTAAAAAATATCTGTGCAAATTTCTTTCTATACAAATTGACTTGCTGTCCTCCTACTGCTGTGGAAAGAGCCACCTTTTGGAAGTGGTTAATGGTGCCACGGGCTTCTCCCTAACTCATAAGACAGTGCAGTCTTGTAACCCTTTTAAAGTGGTTGCCCTCCCCAGAACATCTGGGGCAAAGGGCATCTCCCAGCATTCCTCACGGCGCTGACCCCGACTGATCGCTATTCTACAGCCCCCCCACCTCCTGTGCAAAGCATAGGCTCCTCCCCTTTGGAGCCTTGCTCCGCCCTTCTGACTTCCTCTGCCAGGACACTGCCCCCTGCAGGCAGAGCCATGAAGCTGCAGGCCGTCATGGAGAACCTGCAGCGCCAACAACGTGCCCGGCTGCAGCAGGAGATGGAGGCGCGGCAACAACAGGATCAGCCACAGGCCAATCCTCTACCCCTCCCTGCACCAAATCAGACCACCATGTTGTCAGCCCCTGGCGTCACAGCGTTGCCCCGTGGCCGCAGCCAGGATCCTCCTCTCTCTGAGGAGGGGGGAGAACCTGACAGCGCCCGGATCCAGAGGGCACAGATGGCAGCCCTGGCGGCTATGCGGGCAGCTGCGGCTGGCCTCAGACAGTCATCCAGCCCAGTTGGGTCAGAGGAGAGCCATTCTTCAGAGGAAGAAGAAGAGCTTGTAGGAGAAGAAGAGGAAGAAGAGGAGGAGGAGGAAGATGGTGAATACCCCCGAGAAATGGGCTCAGAAGAAGAGGAGATGTAAGTCCTGTCTGAGGCCCACCCAGCACTTCTTGCTGTTATGTTAGTGTCCTCGTAAGGGGTTCAAATGTTTAGGTCATGAAGGCTCATCTTTGAATGTCCAAGTGACCCACATGACTTGTGCCACAGATGAAGGGGCGTCCATATGTGTGTGTATGTATATATGGGGGGGGTCATTGTCAAAAAACAAGATGGCATCCGTGTGATCAAAACCCTTCCCCTTTATTATGGGCATTACTCATATGACAGAGACTTTATTAAAAGGGGTAGAGTTTCAGTTTATATAACAAGCAATGATCATCTTGCTTTTTTGACACCCCCCCTCCCTTAGAAGTCACTACCTTGGAGACCTTTCAGGTGTCTGTTTTCTCAACCAAATTGTAATTTTTAATGTGACCAACATATGACTGGATAGGAATTATATGAAATATTTTTAAAGCTAGAGAAATGTTCAGTGAAATAAAATCAAATGTAATTTTTGTCCTGGCCCCAGTGGTTAGATGTCAAGGATTAGACTTTAGCCTACCTGTCCTAAACTTTGCAGGGACATTGGAATGAAAGGTTGGGGCATAGCTGTATGTGCTACCTTGTAATTCTTGTGCTAAAACATGTAATTCACAAACTTTCTGGGCTCGAACAGGAAGCCACAGGCTTGCTTTCCCTTGGATGGTATCCCTTTTGCCTTGGATGAGGGAGTAGCCATTTTATAAACTTGAGCCTCTCGTTTTTAATGATTTTTTCAAAGGTAAAAAGGTATCATTTACCCATCCCAGGATGGGATAAATAAATAACAAGTTGAATTGTTTTGTGGCTCGAAAATCACACAGAACATTGCAAAATGTTTGGAAAGAAAAAATATCTCATTTCACTGCTCTTGCTCTTGATTTGGTAATTTGGTGTGTTTCTCCAGCAGGCTCCTGTGCCCCTCCCTGGTGTTGTTGGGGTCAGGAAACAATAAAACCAGCAGCTCTTAAGGCAAAACCAGTCTGGCTAGTTTTTAATGCCTTAGGCTTTTGATTAAGTTCCTGATCCTTGTTTGAAAATTTCCAACCTATTTAAAACAAAAAAAAAAGTACAAAGGGGGGGGGGGAGAATGCCATTTTTCCAGAATCTTTTGAGGGAAGTAAAGTGTGTCTAAATATGCCTTTGTTTACTCAGCAGTCAGATACTTCTGCACTAGCAACCTTCAGATCTGTTGGAGTTTGATTCCCATAACCAGCTGGCTGACTTTTAGGGATGGCTTCTGTAATGCGGGGGAGGGGGAGGAGGACCTCAAAGCAGGCTTCATGAAGGGCTGTACCCCAACAGCCAGTAGAAATAACCCCAGTTTTTTATTTTTATTTTCAGTGTTCTTATGAAGTGAAGTGGTGTCTAAAATCTCAGCTGGGCCACAATACCTATTTTTTTTCTTTAAGCTCCCTCTCCCCACCCATCCCTAGAAATAGTAAAACAGACCAAGGCTTGGGGCCTCCAGTTAACAATTAAAGTCATAAAAAGGAGTGCTGGGAGAGGGGCTGCAGTTTTGTTGTCCATCTCTCTTAGCTACTTAAAAAAAAAGCAAAGGCCCACACTCTTCCCCCAACCCCACCCTAAATTTATGTTGTAATTCAGGCATCTGTTAGAAATCGACTGTAGGCCAGAATAAACAAGTTTTTGGGACTGAGACCATATCTGGAATATTGGCAAGCCTGTGATGGCTACAATCATGTTACATTATGTTATGGGAAATCTGGAATGGCTGCTGTGGTGGATACAGTCCATCCCAAAATAATTATTGGAATGCTGTCTGTCATTTTTAAGAGACTTCCTGGGGCCCAAAGATACTGCTGCAAATAAGTATGGTGCAAGGCGATGGTACTTTGCAAACTTGCTATTTATTTTAATCTAAACATGCCTGTTATTAAAGCTTGACGGGCATCAGGGAGGTATCTGGCGGCGTATTGGAACCCAAAGTCACCATTTTGATTTACCCTGCCTTAGGTATTTACATTTTCTTCCTTATAATTCTCTTCCTCTTTTAGGAAGGGCAAGTGGGTTGAAGATTTTGAAGAAGACCTGGGTGAGGAGGAGGAGGAGGAGGAAGAATACGAGGAAGAAGAAGAAATGGTGGAGGGAGGGCTTGGCTCCAGCGCAGTGGCTACATCAAGCCCTGGCACCCCATTTCTACACAAACAACAGACCCCCCAGCAATACCGAGGAGAACCTTCTAGACTGGTAGGGGGGCAGGAACGGGGCCATTCTGGGATTCCCCAGCAAAGCCTGTCACAGCTGCAGCCCCAAGTCCTGGACCACGGAGATTGGACTTATGAAGAGCAATTCAAGCAGGTAAAGAGGTGTAAAAAATATCTTTTCTTCCTATTTTTAAATGACAGAAATCTTATTCAGTGATTCTGCTGGTCAAGTTTTTGATTGTTTTTCCAGCCAGTGAGGACTAGAATCTTGTTTCCATTTGTGGGGGAAGGGGAAAACAATATGTAGGAATTTATGAGTGAGATAATGCATTAACCCGTGGCTTTTTAAATTTGGTGGAAACGGTTGATTATGGGTAGGATGGAAAACATTTTTATTTATTAAATTTGTATACAGGCCATCTCACCAAAGGCAACTGTAGGCAGATTTCAGACATTGATTAAAAACACACCATAAAACAGCAAAACAATAAATAAAGATCTTAAATTTAAAGTGAAATTAAAATAAAGCTAAGTCTGGAGAGGGAAGGAGAAAAGCCCACACAGTGAGGTAGGTGAAGCGATCTACTCCCATTAGCCCCCTCCAAAGTGCCACACTCCCATTGGTGCCCAAAAGTAGTTGGCACAGCCATGTCTTCAAGGCCTTTCAAAAAAGGGTGGAGCAGATCTGACCTAGGGGTGCAGAGATGTTCCAGGGGCCAAGAGCCAGAGCAGAAAAGGCAGAAAATGTTAGTGTTTTGGGGGCCCAACAATTAATCCATTTGCTCATTTAGAAGACTGCTAAATTGTAAATTGTCATTCAGGCAGGGCATGATTGAACCGTAATGGCAGAATATCTAAAATAATATGGTAGCAGTTATAAGTAGGACATAATAAACTCACAGAACTGCCTCCAGATATTTACCCTATTTGGGTAAATTAATGGAGGAGAAGATTCTCCAGATGGATGGGACGTGTAAGTCTGTTGAATAATGTGCAGTAGCTGAAGTTCTTATTGGTTTGAAAGTTCTCACCATGGTGTGACTTCTAGGTATTGCTGTCCTTAGTTTTACAGAGGTCAGGAAGAGATACTGTTAATGACTTGTGGTTACTACAACCTCTGTGTTCAAAGGCAGTCTTCCTTTGAATGTCAGATGCTGTTAGCTGATGAACGGTGAACTTTCCAGATGCACCCAGGTGGCCATTATAGAAGGCAGTTTGTTGAATTCTGTGAATCTTAAAATAGACTTACGGGAGATGTTCAGTATTCTTACATGCTCACTGAGTCTAGCAGTGATAGTTTCATTTCTGAACCTTAATTTCCTCTCTTTAACTCTTTTCACATGTCTATGTCATCTAAAGAATTTTAATAAAAGTGTACAGAAGTATTTTGTACATTTTATTTATTTAGTAACTTCATTCAGCTGCCCATCTCATATACAGGTAGTCCTCAACTTACAACCATTCGTCTAATGACTATTTGAAGTTACAACGAAAAAAGTGAGTTATGACCGTTTTTCACACTTATGACCATTGTAGCATCCCTATGGTCACGTGATCAAAATTTGACAATTTGCCAGATTCACTTAATAATCGTGTTACTAGCTTAACTGCAGTAATTCACTTAACAACTGTGGTAAAAGTCGTAAAATGGGGCAAATTTCACTGTATTGGAAGTAGACATTTTTGGCAAGTTTGGTCAGCTAAAATTTTTGACCCTTGTTCTTCAGCATAAACAACATAAGTTTTTTCTTTTTCTCTCTGAAATAATACGGCTGAAAAGAAGTATTGGGGTAACTTGAGGTTGATCTTTATGTGGAAGGACTGTAGGTTCTGCCGTTTCTGGTACTGCACACAAATGCTTAGATTCAGAATGATTTAAATGCAAGTCTTTGGCACCAGGCTTCAACTGGTAGATCTGAGCACTCTACTATTCCCCTTCCCTCCAAAAAAACAAAAAACAACAGCTGGAAACCGGCCCATTCTTCTTTTATGAGGACTCAAATGAGATTTGCTTCATTCTTGTAAACAGAATTGTTTGTCTTCCCTTCTTACCTTCTCTTGAATGCTTTTCCTAAGATAATCTCTTTTTTTGCTAGAAAGAGAAAGCAGATTTTTCCATTTGAAACTCAGCAGTATGGAAGTCTGCAGAGAAGCTTGTTAGTCTTGAAATATTTCTCCTCAGGCAAAACTGACCAGCATCAGCTGGCCTCTTCCTGGACCCTGCAATAAAAGCCAGACTATTTGGAACAAGTTTGTTCAGGCTTCAGTTCTTTTTTACTTTGCCCTCTGAGCTGAGGTTGAAACAGTTGAAACTATTTTTTTTTTATGCAGGAACAGATTGGAAACCCTTACGCATATTCTGCATGTATTTGCGTGTCCCTGGGTTTTTTACTCATAAATCCTTAAAATAACATATGTAAAAAGAACTCTAGATAGGCACTGTGTCTTTGGTTTAGCCTGGATATGGAGAAAACACACCCTTTGGGGCAAAATAATAATAATAATAATGACCTGACATACAGCTTTGTTGTATTTTCCACAACCTTTTTTGTTATTTTGAATCTGACAATGCTTATTCTTCATTTTCCCCTTATTTTTAATCACAAACAAGGCCTTATGGATATGAGTATGCTTGAAAGAAGATAGAAATTCCAAATAAGTACTTATAATGGTTGTATAGGTCTGCATGAAAAGGAAAAAAAAAAGATAGGGCAACTTTTAAAGGAGGTTTAATTTTTATGCTTCTCTTTGAGCTGCTGGGGAGTATCGTTTGGGGCAACATCGTTACAACATGTTGAGGCTAAATGTGTTTTGCTCTTGGGGAACACTTTAATATATAATTCTTCATGTGTAAGAATTGCTCACAAAAGCTGTCTTTTTGCTTTCACTATTGATTGAATTATCTCTATGTAACAGTGATCAATAGAACACCTACAGCAGGGGTGTCAAACTTGCGACATCATGTGACGTCGCGCAACGTATCAGGCCGGTTTTGCCATTGCCAGCAATGGGGTAGGTGTGGCTTCAGTATGATGAAACCGGATCATGGGCCGGCAATTCTGACTTACAGTTAACAGATTGAGGTTTTGTTTTTAAATAAAACTATGCTGTTTTGTAGAATGCTTGTATGGCTGCCTTCCCTTAAATGTAATAGGTTAAATTATAAATGTTACTTTTCAACTCCTGTCCTCCTGGATTTTTGAGCTGAGTATATGGTAATTAGATACTAGTTGTCTTATTACCATATAATAACAACTCTCTTTTTAACAGAGATAGTGTGTATATTTCATGCTTCTGTTCTTGTTTGGATCTGCTTGCAGTTATAGTGTTTGCTTCCCTCTGTATGGATGCAAAATCTTTTTGAGGAAAAGGAAGTTGTTCTTAATGTCTTTATTTTCTTGAATACAAGGGGTAGGCTACATAACTAATGGAAAGCCCAGTTCAAGAAAGAACACATTAATTTAGCAGTGCCACCTTTTTCCATCACCAAATCTTTTTTCTCTCTTCACCCCAACCCTCCATTTTTTAAAAATTTCTTTCCCGCTGCCTCCCTTCCTGCTTTTCTGTTTGATCAGTCTGGACTGAGTATTGAATCAAAAAAGCCTTAGAGCTAGTAGAAGGAAATAGTTCTTTGCAAGCTTTCTCCCTAGAGGCAGAGTCTCCTTTGAAGTACTAGTTGTAAATACATTGAGAATTTGGGGTGGAAGGGATGATCAGGCGATTTCCTCCCCCCCTTTTTTTTTTTTTGTTCAAACAGCAGCAGATGGAATCCAGATGGAGAAAAGGGAGAAAGTAGCTGGAAGAGCTGGTAAAAAGATCCATTTTTCAGAGGGCCACAGGAATATTGTGGTATTTTCTTCAGAGATAACAGAACAGAATAACAGAATGGGAAAAGACTTTGGAGGTCTTCTAGTCCAATCCCCTGTTCAGTATCTATATTTTTGAAATTTTTAGTTAAGTGGAAAAAAAATGCCTTAAAAAAATTACAGGTAATCCTCAATTTACGACTACAATTGAACCCAACATTTTTGTTGCTAAGCAAGACAGTTGTTAAATGAATTTTGCCCCATTTTATGACCTTTCTTGCCACAGTTGTTAAGGGAATGACTGCAGTTGTTAAGTTAGTAACACGGTTAAGTGAATCTGGCTTCTCCATTGACTTTGTCAGAAAATCTCAAAAGATGATCACCTGACCACGGGACACCACAACCATCACAAATACGAGTCAGTTGCTAAGTGTCTCTTTTGATCACATGACCATGGGGATGCTGCAACATTTGTAACTGAAAAGGGTCCTAGGTCACTTTTTTCAGTGCCCTTGCAACCTTGAATAGTCACTAAATGGAACTGTTGTAAGTCGAGAATTGCTTGTATTTCACTGATTCCTAGACTGGCCAAGCTTCTGCTAAAAGGATTGTTTTTGATGGTATCTGCCTATAAAAAGAGTTTCCCACTGTGACTGTGGATGAGTCACAGAATAGACTCTGTTGGAAGCAACCTTAGTCTGGAGCACTCCTAGCATTGGAATCTTTGGTCTTCAAGGGCGTTCATTCATCTGGTTTGATGGGAGGTAGTTTTGCCCTGTTGTGCATTAAGCGCAATCACTCAGTTGCTCCTGAATCATTCAGTTGCTCCCAGACAGACCCAGATAGTCACATTGTAAGTTGAAAGCAATTATTTTCTCCAAGGAGATCATATTAAGCATGACTCCATCACTCAAGACGCAACAGAATTCCCTGCTTTTGGGAAGGCATACACCCACATATTCTAAAAAGCAAACAATTTTGCATTGTAAATATGACAGTAAAGGAAAAGTAATGTTATCTGGTTCTATTGACATGGAGGTGGGACCTCATTTCCAGACAATCTGTGGAGAGGAATGGTTGGAGAGAAAGACAACAAAGACAACAAAAGTAAAGATAAGAGACCAAAGACTGTGAAGGACTAATGCACTTAATTGTAATGTGCATATTTACGTAATATGCATTGCAGATAATGGCCCTTTTTGAATGCAAGCTAGACCCTGAACCTCTGCTTGCAGAGTCCATATTTAGATATGTTTCCTTTACAAAATTCAGAGGGTGTTACAATAAAAACCCATACCAGCAATACAGGGAAATTATATAAAGACTGTCAGTATTGCCTATTCCCCCA